TAAACACATCTGGTAAAACATCTGTTCAACAGTTTGAAAAAGGCCATGTATTGCATTCCTTGCTCAATAAAAGAATCAGTTTAAATGTTGGTTTTAGTCAATGAACTCCCATCACATCACATAAACTGTCGGCTGTTTGTAACCAGCAGTAGAGTTAAGATCCGGCTGCCAGAGCAATTCAGGATAAAGGGTCATGGTCAGTTACATAACCAGGATGCCAGAGATCTCCTTAAATAAGATCCAGATGTTGGTTTATGAAGAACTTCACAAAATACAGCCAACAATGCAACTCTGCACCAGTCAGGACTTTTAAATAATGGATTAACAAAAAAAAAGTGGGCTTAAAAGTTCTCAAACAGCACCTGATTGATTTATTTTTTTACCATGATTAATCATATGATTAAACAGCCATTGAACTATTTTGCAGTGGTGTCTAACAGCAAATGTTAAATGGCCTGTATTTGATATAGCGCCTTCTAAAGTCCTGGAACTTCCCAAGGCACTTTACAACACCGTCATTCACCCATTCACAATCACTGGTGGTGATGAGCTAGCCACAGCTGCCCTGGGGCACACTGACAGAGGTGAGTCTACCATACACAGACGCCAACGATCCCCCAACCACCACTAACAGGCAAGGTGGGTTAAGTGTCTTGCCCAAGGACACAACGACAGCGACAGACTGAGCGGGGCTCGAACCTGCAACCTTCCGATTCCGAAGTGTGGAGCAAACGAGGAAGTTTCTCATCACTATGCAATGAGTGAATGCATCCTGTGACTGCTAAAAGACCCAATCTGTGTAAGGCTTGGGTTTCTTTATTCTGTTAATTCAACAGCTTTTGTATTCCATGCCTTGCAAAAAAAGGCCAGGCATGTCAGGAAACATCAGTTCCATCATCTCCTGCAGCGATGAGCGTTGGACTTTGGTGTATTTACATTTCCCCATTATCAAAATTTCTGTCTGAATTTTAAAAACAACTTGATTTGAATAATTATAGAACACTTAAAAAGATTGAGCTTCACATCCATGGGAGAATGGATCTAGCTTAGATGATTATCATTATCCTTCTAGTCCTATCCCCTACTTCACACTGGAAGCAGCAGCGGAACTGTTCACTCGCGATTTTTGCTGGGTGACCAAGCGTTTGTTTCCGACGCATTGGGAGTCGACGCGCTTTGCCAGAGCGTCATTTTCCTACTGCCTCAGCAAAAAGGAGATTCCACAGAACTCTGACCTTTACCCTCTTGCTATTTAACCTTCCCCTCACCCCCATTTTAACTTTAACCCTCTTGCGCATGCATGTTTCTAGTTGTAATGCCCCTTTCCAACACGGTTAAGGGAAAGTTTAAAATGAGCAACAGGGTTATGGTTAGGATGGGGTGAGAAGAAGGTAGCGAGGTTAGAGGTTAAATGTCAGTGAAAGGTGTGTTTTACCTCGGGCGTCGGAAACCAGCACTCTTGCACCGCGCGTCGGCTCCTGAAACAAACGCTTGGTCATCCAGCATCATTTTTCGACGCTTCGGGTGTAAGAATGTGTTGAACATACAGGTCGTGCCAACCTGACACACGATTATGAAGATGTATCTCCAGACTCCTGACCCCTCTGAGGACACAAGACTCTTGATCTAAATTGGTTTTGACAATAATTTATTTGGTGGTGCGATTTTTCTCAATTTAACAAAAGCCTTTGACCTTGTCAATCACTATCTACTTTTAGATAAATTATATGCCTTTGGTCTGTCAAGGCCGTCTCTACTGTGGTTTAGTTATTTTCTTCATCATCGTTCTCAATTTGTTTCCTTTAATGGTTCTGACTCCCAACATGCGATGAGTCATCAGAGGTGTTCCCCAAGGCTCTTCACTTGGGCCATTATTATTTTCAATTTTTATTAATGATTTACCATAGTGCTGCAGATCCTGTTCTTTTCAGTTAAATGCAGATGACACGGTCTTATACTGTTCTAAGTCGAGTAAATCTGAATTACAAGAAGCTCTTCAGCCTAATTTTGACTAAGTGCAGCTCTGGCTAGCTCAGAACAAACTTCTTTTAAATAAATCTAAGACTTACTCCATGCAGTTTCATAGATGTAGTAATCTATCTGATAGTGACAGGACTCTTAATCTTTATTTTTTGGATTCTTCGCTGGTTCATCCTTCTGTTAAAATGAAATATTTAGGAGTTTGGCTGGAGCCAGAGCTGTCTTTTAAATTTCACATTCACACGACATGTCTTAAGGTCACACGGTGTTTACGTATCCTTTACAACTCAATAAATTGCTTCGAACCTATTGTACGAAAGCGCATTGTCACTCAGCTTCTGTTGCCAATTATTGATTTTTCTGATATTTTGTACCAAAACTCAACAGTTTCTAGCCTGCGGTCTCTCATGTAGTCTACAACAGTTTGTGTCGTTTCATTTTGCGGTGTTTTAACACTCATCATTGTTATATGTATGAACTTCTTGGTTGGCTGCCTTTAAAAGCAAGACGACAATTTATTTGATTGATATTTATGCTTAAGTGCATTTATTTTGATTTTCCACTTTATCTAAAAACTCTTTTGGTTCCCATTGATTCCTTGTATTCCACCCGCTTAACTACTCTTCCATCATTTGTTGTTCCTCGTTTTAAAAAGGAGGTGGGTAGACTCGCCTTTTGTGTTAAAGCTCCTCAGGACTGGAATAAATTACCCACTGAATTAAGATCCATCTCAACAATTCGTCAATTTTCCCGCACTGTTTATGCTTGTAAAGCCAAGCTGTAGTTGCTTTGTTTAATCTTTATTATAATGATTTTGTGCATTCACTGGCTAACATGCTGTATTTCGTTGCCAAACTTTGTATTCAATTGGGATATTACTTCACTTTAGGTTTGTTTACGATGTAATTTCTTGCCCTTATTTCTCTTTGAGTGCCTCACAGCAGTTTTGTTTAATTTAATTTTGTATATAGGTATGCATGTACGTATGTACACGTGTGGGTATCTATGTATCCATGCTTATGTGTTTATATTTACGTGTGTATATATATATATATTTATACATATCGTTAATTTTACTATTATTATTTATTTACTTTCCTTCTTTTCTTATTTTTTTTAAGTCTGTTATAACTTTCTAACTCTGCCACCTTATTTGTTATTGGTTGTGTTGTAGGAGGACCTGCTTGAAAATGAGATGTTACATCTCAAGCAGTTTATCCTCCTGAAAAACATAAGTTAAATAAATAAATAATAATAAATAAATCCCTAGTTATCTTTTCTGGCTCATAGAATTACTTTCTAACTTAAATTATTTACAATCCTATTTTGTGTACCTACAATATGTTTTTATTCTAAAGTGTTTTAATAATTTTGAATACTCAACAGTTAAAGGAAATCATATTTTCATCTTATCGGGTCTTTTTCAAAGAGAATGGAAACAGACTATAAATCTCAAAGCAATCTGTGAGGAGGACTTTTTTGAAAGCATAATCATTTTATTACAATTCTTCCATGTAAAGGTTTGCTTTGGTGCATTTGAAATGAGTCCTACAGCTGTGTCATGTGAAGTGTGTGATCAGTGAATAGTTGCATAGAATTTCTGATAAGTCGCATTAGCTTGGAGCTCCGCCCACATTGGCCTGGGACGGGAGTGTTCAAGATATACCAAAACGTTGCTGATTACAAAACACTTAGTGTCCCTGAGGTCATAAAACAATACTGCAGTTATGGTGAAGTGTGCAATGTTTCATTGAAAATGGCTCCCAGATTTGTAGCTTGGGAATAGAAAAACTTGAGGTTTTATTTTTATGTTTTATTCTAACAAGTTTTTGTGAAATGGAACCAATATCCATGTGGATATTCTGCTTTGTTGTACTCAGGTCTCCAAACAATAAAGAATAAATATAGGGGAAAAAAGGGGTGAAATAAATATCTTTAAGATCTTTTTCACAATTTTTTAACTTGTTCTGATGGTTTTTATTCCTCTCTCTGTTTCAACAGACAAAAAATCCAACGTGGAAATAGTTGGTATCATTTGCATATCTACTTTAGAGATGGTGCCCAATAATAAAGATCTATCGGACACGTGAATTGGGTTTGCTGCCAAATATATTTCATATATGTTGGATATAGCCATGGTTTCTCTCCATTTTCAATCAGAAATAGGAAATTTTGAGTTTCATCTTGAAAACTTGAAAGGCACCGCCAAGGCAGTTTAATGCATCAAAGTCTGTGATCTCTGCTAAAGCTGTGTGTTTGCTCTTAACTTGGCTTGTGGTGCTTTACATCAGTCACACTCTATTATGGACAAAGACCACTGTGAGTTGACATGTTGCTCCAGCGTTTGAAAGCATAAAATATTCAGACATTAATTGCTTTCAGGTTGTTTGGCTAATGATGTTCAGCCTGATTGCAGAAATCAGCTATCGGCAAATCCGACTGGCTTTCTGACCAGGAATTGGAAAACTGCTCAACTGAGGCAGACATTATTGGAGTTCCGGGAAATTTCTGGGGCAAGGTGATCAGGAGATACGATAGCTTAGAAACAACGGTTTTAAAGCAATTGTCTTTTCTTTCCCTTCTGCTTCATCTGCAACTTTTCTAATTTTCCAAATTTGGGCTGTTTGGCGACATCTGCCAGGGTCATTTCCTAGTTAGTTGTTACCAGTCAGCACAAGTTAACCACAAGTCCCACTCAGCAAATCTACCAGGCCATTCCGAGTACATAACCTAGTTTAGGTACGACGTTGGTTCCTGAAGCAGCCTGGAAAGTGAAGTGAAATGCAGACATGTGCACCCCGCAAAGGTCCGGTAAAATGACCCAGAAGTTCCGATAATGAAATGGGTCTATTAGTCTGAGCTTTGAGTCCTGTCTACTGATGCAAATGGAATTCAGTATTTCTTTCAAAGTCTGTGATGTTTACGTATTTTAGAGGCGCAGTAACTGTGGTTGTAAAATGCACATAACCTCACACACATCATATTCCTTGTCTGACAGACATGTTGTGTTGTTTTCAAAGGACAACATCAACGTGGATGAGGCGGCCCATTTCCTGGTGGAGAATATCTTGGCTAACGACAAAGGTTTACCGTACGAGGAAAGCAATGGTGACCGGATCAAGCTGGACCAGGAGACTGTAGCTGCTGAGAGCAAGTCAGGCTGCTGCTAACACTCAATCCACTCACATTAGCCGTCTGCCTCCCTCCCGTAGGGTCCAGTGAGTTCAACCTGCCTGTGGCCCCAGCTTGCTGACACAACCTCGCAGAGGAATAAAAATATTTTTTGCGGTCTATTCAACGCTCCAGGAAATTTTCTCTGCACTGGTGCTGTCTTGATCTGTGCATCAACGGTTCTCATTACAGTTTTATTTAATACCAGTTCAGTTACTTTCAGTGCATTTACTGCTCTTTCCCAAGGTATTTAGTATTTTTTGTAGCTTTTCTGTGTACTCATGCTCTACCAGCTGTTGCCCTGACACCAGCTAAAGTCTTGGACTCTACAACACATGAAAAAGCTGCAAACTAAACAGAAAGTTGATGAGAACTGGCTTGTTAAAACTAATCTGTAGATGTTTGACTGCCACTGTGATGTGTTCTCTTTCTGTATTTTATTGTACTTCTGATGCCTTTCTACAGTGTTTCTAGGTGAACGTTACATTTTACAGTACACAGGTTGCTCTCATGGTCAGCCTACTGTTAGCTAATGACTCTCCTTTAAATGCATTAATAGAATGTTATCACTCATCATGTCCTTTTTCTTCATTTCTCCTTATTCCTCTGAAGTGTTGTGCCAATGCTGTTTTTATTTGAATGGAGTTCGGTACGTTTTTATCCCTCACACAATATGAACACGCTTATGGTGCAGTTATGATTGTGTCAATCTCTGGCATGTACTTTTAAAGTGTTTTGACACTGTGTAAATCCTGAATCAGACAGAGGACTTTTGTATCTGTTAAAATATTGATAAAATGTAAATACTGTTTTTAAACATGTTCACTCATGAGAATACTTTAAATCTTTAAGGCCAAAATAGAATAAACATTTTAACAACGTTCTGTTGTCTCCTTTAGTTGGATTGCCAACTGAGTAGCTTCCTTTCTTAAACTGAGGGAACCCTAATTACTTCTGTATATTTTCTAAAATCTCCTGAGAAAGTTATTTTGTTAACCAGTTAGTGCAAAATGTGCACCCGGTCCACCCGGTCTTTCACGTCTCCCAGCTGAAGCCGGTGGTCTCCTCTCCTCTCCACCCTCCGCCGACCCGGGTGCCTCCGCCCCGCGGTGTAGAGGAGGATCGCATCTACACGGTCCGCAAGGTTTTGGACGCTCCCCGCCGGGGACGTGGTTGGCAGTACCTCGTCGACTGGGAGGGGTACGGCCCGGAGGAGCGCTCTTGGGAGCCCACAAGCTCGTTTGTCGACCCTACCCTGCTGACTGACTTCTGGGCCCGGCGCCCTGGGACTTCGGGAGCCGTCCCTCGAGGGGGGGGGGGGGTCCTTTCACAAACTCCTCCAGCTAACTCCATTTCCCATCACTCCCGCCACCAACGTGGCCGCCGACATCATCACGCCGACACCAGATAAGGAAGTGCCGGCGTTTCATTCATTACTCTGTCATCATTCTCACCTGACTTTGAATCGAGTTCTCAGGCTTACCAGCCTTCAAACCGAACCTAAAGGAGTTAAACCACGCTGTTTATCTCCACCACTCCGCGTCTGGGTAACAGACCTTCTCAGCCACGCTTCAGCTCTGCCACCAAACCTGACAACAGCTAGGTTTTGAGCGCAAACACGGTCACGAAACACTCACCCCTCCACTCGGGTATCTTCCCTGAGATGCTTCTGCTAGAACTAGAAACCCACAATGCCGGAGGAAACGAGATAGTCGCTGTTTTATAAGTCCAAACGTCTTTTGTTACCCCGACTTGAAATGGTGTTTTTCTTTTTGGGACTCTGGTAGTTTGTCTTAAAGATGAAGTGGTAGCAGCTGGCTGTTTCTCCTTCTCTGATATCATTGAGCTGTGAACCTCGCACATCAGTTTTCTGTTGCTAATTACGCTAGCGCGTAATGAATGGAGGACTCAGAGAAGTGCGGCAGTTTGGCGAGACGGACAACCGGATGGTTCAGTCGTTGCTTTTGGTCCGAAACGTGTTATTGGTGGAGGTTTTTAGACAAATGCTAGAGAACCACTTTATTAATATTTTTAAATCTTTTCTATACAGGTGCTGGCCAGTAAATTAGAATATCATCAAAAGGTTGAAAATATTTCAGTAATTCCATTCAAAACGTGAAACTTGTACATTATATTCATGCAATGCACACAGACCAATGTATTTCCAATGTTCATTACATTTAAATTTGATATTCATAAGTGACAACTAATGAAAACTCCAAATTTGGTATCTCAAAAAATTAGAATATTCTGAAAAGGCTGAATATAGAAGACACCTGCTGCCACTCTAATCAGCTGATTTACTCAAAACACCTGCAAAGGCCTTTAAAAGGTCCCTCAGTCTTGTTTTGAAGGCACCACAATCATGGGGAAGACTTCTGACTTAACAGCTGTCCAAAAGACAATCATTGACACCTTGCACAAGGAGGGCAAGACACAAAAGGTGATTGCTAAAGAAGCTGGCTGTTCGCAGAGCTCTGTGTCCAAGCACATTAACAGACAGGCGAAGGGACGGAAAAAATGTGGTAGAAAAAAGTGTACAAGCTCTAGGGATAACCGCACCCTGCAGAGAATTGTGACGACAAACCCATTCAAAAATGTGGGGGAGATCCACAAAGAGTGGACTGCAGCTGGAGTCAGCGCTTCAAGAACCACCACGAGGAGACTCATGAAAGACATGGGATTCAGGTGTCGCATTCCGTGTGTCAAGCCACTCTTGAACAAGAAACAGCGCAAGAAGCGTCTCGCCCGGGCCAAGGACAAAAAGGACTGGACTGATGCTGAGTGGTCCAAAGTTATGTTTTCTGATGAAAGCAAGTTCTGCATTTCCTTTGGAAATCAAGGACCCAGAGTCTGGAGGAAGAGCGGAGAAGCACAGAATCCACGTTGCATGAGGTCCAGTGTAAAGTTTCCACCGTCAGTGATGGTGTGGGGTGCCATGTCATCTGCCGGTGTTGGCCCACTCTGTTTCCCGAGGTCTAGGGTCAATGCAGCCGTCTACCAGGAAGTTTTAGAGCACTTCATGCTTCCTGCTGCTGACCAACTTTATGGGGATGCAGACTTCACCTTTCAACAGGACTTGGCACCTGCACACAGTGCCAAAACCACCAGCACCTGGTTCAAGGACCATGGTATCCCTGTCCTTGATTGGCCAGCAAACTCGCCTGACCTTAACCCCATAGAAAATCTATGGGGTATTGTGAAGCGGAGGATGCAATACGCTAGACCCAACAATGCAGAGGAGCTGAAGACGACTATCAGAGCAACCTGGGCTCTCATAACACCTGAGCAGTGCCACAGACTGATCGAGTCCATGCCACGCCGCATTACTGCAGTTATTGAGGCAAAAGGAGCCCCGACTAAGTATTGAGTGCTATACATGCACATTCTTTTCATGTTCATTCTTTTCAGTTGGCCAACATTAGAGAAACAAACATTTTTTCATTGGCCTTTAGAATATTCTAATTTTCTGAGATACCAGATTTGATGTTTTCATTGGTTGTCACCTATAAATATCAAAATTAAACGTAATAAACATCGGAAATACATTGGTCTGTGTGCATTGCATGAATATAATGTACAAGTTTCACGTTTTGAATGGAATTACTGAAATATTTTCAACCTTTTGATGATATTCTAATTTACTGGCCAGCACCTGTATAGTTATAGCTATACAATGTTAAAACATTAAGAGGCATGAAAAAAGTGTTTTAAGCTAATTTGCCTTTCAAATATATTAAAAAAAACAAATATGCAATGAAAAATGTGGAACAACACAACCACTCTAAGTTATAACATTTTTAGTGCCCAAAATTGATTTACTAATGTTTAAAACTGTAATTCTCTCCCACTTCCTCCTCTGTTATCACAAGAGCAAACTCCCATTTGGCCCACTATAAATCCTGGGCTAGTCTTTGCCAGTAAGAGTACACCAGGCCTGTCCTTGATATCTGGGAAAAATGGGGACGCATTTGAGAACGCGTGTTGAGTATCTTTTGAATTTGGACAGCTGTGTCGCTTTGCTCTGATATCGTTGGCCTTAAAATACGTACTCAGAAGGATGCAGCCCCTGGAATTGGACACAGGCATTGTTTTGTCTTCTTCCATCTGGTTTCAGGGCAGCAGTTTTTTCCACCAGTTCCTACAGTGTGATCCCAAAGTATTTTCAGGCTAGCTGAGCAACACTTGGCCCTGGTGTCTCCTCCAGTAAGGCCACTCCCTAAGCACTAACCTTTGGGACCACCTTAGCTGGCTCCTGCAAGTCCCTCTTGGATGTCTGAGCACCTCCCTTCATCTCTAAAGTTGAATATGGCCGCCCTAAGCGCAGAGAGAACTCGTATTGGGTGCTTGTTTTAGTGCTCATGTTCTATTGCTCATCACCATAGATGAGAGTCGAAACATAGATTAGTTGTTAAATCGAGAGTTTTGGGTATAAACAGGATGAGTGTCATTTAGGAAAAACAAGTTAAACGTCCTTGATAAGATCTTCCAACTGGGAAAAATGGCTATGCTTTGTGTTACAATATTGAAGAAGTTAAAATATGTGCGTGATTAAAGTGTGCTCGAATTTAGGATCCCACTGTGGTTGAAAACCAGATGGACTTTGACCTGTTCTCTGCCAACGGTCATCTCTTTCCTTGTGAGGTTAGTGTTCAGTATAATTTAGAAAGCTACCTTTTGCATTAACTCACACTTATTATTTGGATGAGACAAACAGTCTCACCCTTTTAATCCTCTCCTTTTTAAGTTGATGAGGTGGCTCATCAGTGAGATCCATGTTGTTTGGAAGTTGAATGACAGCACATCGACGCAGCAAGACGGCTGGAAACCTTGGGAGCACATCTTCTCATTGTGTAAGGTGGTGAAAGGTCACGTTCCACTTTACAACACATATGGGAAGTACGTGGTTAGACTTTACTGGATGGTAAGTGTGACAAAAACACGTTATTCACAACTGATCCACAGTTTGGCCAGAGCTAGCAATGTTTTTGGTTCTTTACTCTAAAATAGAAAGGGAATTTGAAAATTTAGTCACCCTTCCAAAAATATTTCCTACTTTGATGATCGCACGTTTAGGGCACAGTTGCATGGCAATAAATGGAAGTTTCTTTTTGCAGCAGATCACAATGTTTAGCAGATGAAAGGAGACTAGGCAAGGATGGAGAAGAGGGGGAAGGGTTGTGATTAGAGACTTATCCTCAGAGCTCAAATCAATCAGTCTCACTGCTGTGCCAACACTGATGTGGCTATGCTGCCTGTTGAATAGATAAGGCTTAACAGGAGTCAGCTGCTTCTCCAACAGCAACTCCCTATTATGACCCTTCGAGGAGGCGCTCTGGGAGGGTTTTATTCAAAGCAGTGTCGTTTATTACGATTCAGTTTCATTTTTACATGCTGCTGATCCACATTATAGATCATTTTTGGGATACAGCTTGATGTTGTTCAGTGAGTTGCTGTGTTTATGTTACGTGTCACCGATCGCTAAGCAACAACTGTGTTTACTGAGGGGAAACTTTCACAACTTTTAGGTTACTAACATAACCGAGGAGTCAGGGCCAATTTCCTTTTCTTTTATGTTAAACTGATTCTTACCTTGACAAAGATGACACAGTTTTAGGCAACCTTTTCCATGCCAGCCATATCGACCTAACAGGTGGTAGTTGAGACACTGATTGTCGTCACAATTTCCTGATTTTGCTATTAAACAGTTTCTTTCTCTCAGTTAGAATTTCGTTTTTTCCACTCAAGACAAGCTAACATAATCTCTGTGCTGCTCAGTCTGACTTTACTTCATCACTGTATGCAACCTCACCATGTCAACACACATCTGGGGGGGGGGGGGATAAGAGGAAAAGCTAAAACTGTCCTGCTCCGCTGTCTATACAGCACTGCTTGTTCAAACTGCTCTGATAAACAAAGAAATGTATGTCTTTGAGAAGTCAGTCAACTGATTGTTCTAGTTTTCTTTATGAGCGAGGAAACTCCTCTAAAAGATTAACAGTAAGCTTACCCTGTATTCATGGCTGCGGGAGAAAAGCGCCTTTTCTGAAAATATGTATTTTCTGAGAACATGGTTCATTTTAGGACAATTAGTTGAAGCTCTGAAAGTCTCACTTTAAAGGTAAAAAATCAAACATTTACTTTTTAAAAACCATAAAGGGGATGATTAGATCTACACTCTAAAAAATTAAATGTTGAATTTACTAAACCAAGTTATGTCAACTGGTTCCACTAAACCTAGTTGCTTAAATGTAAAGAGTAATTAACATTATGTTATATGTTATATTATTGCTCTTTATATTTAAGTAACTAGGTTTAGTGGAACCAGTTGACATAAGTTGGTTAATTATTCATTTCATTTATTTAATTGAACATTTATTTTTTTAGAGTGTAACTCTGGCATAAGTACTAACAACTTGCTGAGGCTTCCATAGAAAGCGGCATCATAAACGAATGAAAACCTGTGTGAATGCCACTGTTCAGCTGGAAGGAGTTTAAACATTAACAGAGTAAAGATACCTGTTTGTGTTGGAATAAGGATTGATTTTCACCTAAACGGGTCAACTAAAAGCTGAACCATGTGAGAACTGAACATTAGTCCAGCAAGTTCACAAGACTTTGTATAGATTGGTGAAAGAAAAAACAAAAGTCCTCATTGTTGAGGCACATTTGTCTCTTTGCTCGTTTTGCCTCCAGGGTTCTTGGAGGAAGGTAACCATAGATGACTCCATGCCATTTGATGACCAGAACAACCTGCTTCTCCCAGCCTCCACCTGTCAGTGGGAGCTCTGGCCAATGTTACTGGCTAAAGCTCTAATCAGAGTGGCCAACATAAAGTGAGTCACCAAGCATTCCAACACAAACTCCATTATCATCCCAGCGCCACCACATGCTAAACCAATAGGCTGCTGTGGAACATTCTTGACTGCAACTCGGGCAAAAAACTTTTACCACTGAAGCGTGCTTCACAATGTAGATGCAATAACTCTTTTTCATTCGTTAGTCACTTTGGATAAAAGCCTCAATTGAACTCACAGGGAATTCTCCACAAGACTGCAAACCTTCACTTGACCTAATCACTGCCCCAGGCTGGATTTGATTTGGCGACAGACAGTGTTCAGCTCAGAGATGGAGAATGATGGCGTGCTTAAAGGCGACTGTTTCAGAGTCCATAGAAGGTCGAGCTATTAATGTTTCATCCTGGAGAGGAGGCTAAGCAGCCTAATGAATCATTTAAATGTCATAAAGAAAGTTATTTATGCTAGAACCATACATTGTCCAGGTGTCGGCTGTTGCTTTTCAGAACGTTATGTCTGGTTGAGCCAGTCACTGGGTTTTATGGGTCCTTCAGTGAAAATGAGTCAAGTTTAACTATCGGATAAGTCAACATATTGCACATTGCAGCAGTTGTAGGCGGCCTTTTTAAGTAAAAACCCAAACAAACCTTAAAAAAATCATTGTCTTTATTTTTATTTATTTTTTAAACCTTTTCTGACCAGATTAATCATACACTTGGAAACAAAGCCAAGCAAACACACATCCTTCAATATTAACAATAAATATTAAGCATTTTAAAAGTGTTTAGGATGTTTTTTAATCATCCATTTTCATCAACTTATCAGGGATCGGGTTGCGGGGGCAGTACCCTTAGCAGATAGGCCCAGACTTCCCTCTTCCCAGCCACTTGGGCCAGCTCTTCCAGGGAATTCCCAAGGCGTTTCCTGGCCAGCTGAGAGACATAGTACCTCCAGCGTGCCCTGGGTCTTCCTTTGGGTCTCCTCCTGGTTGGACGTGCCCAGGAAACATTACCAAGGAGGCGTCCAGCAGGCATCCTCACCAGATCTACTCTGAGCCACCTCAACTGGCTTCTCTTGATGTGGAGGAGCAGCGGCTCTACTCCGAGCCCCTCCTGGATATCCAAGCTTCTAACCCTATGTCTACGGGAGAGCCCAGACACACTGCGGAGGAAATGAAATTCAGCCGCTTGTATCCGTGATCTTGTTTTTTCAGTCACTACTCAAAGCTCGTGACCATAGATGAGGGTAGGAACGTAGATCGACTGGTCAATGGAGAACTTTGCCTTCTGGCTCAGCTCTCTTCACCACGACAGACCGGAACAACACCTGTATCACTGCAGACGCAGCACCAATCTACCTATTGATCTCACACTCCATCTTTCCCTCACCCATAAACAAGACCTTGATGTTTTTCATGTGTTTTTTTTTTCTTTTTTTTTCCAGAGTTGTCAAGGAGATGGGTGAGTTCAGCTTCATCCACAATCTCACCAGCTGGATACCAGAAATGACTTCTATAGAGTAAGTTAGTTAGTTGACTCAGACCTTTACAAAATTATTTCCTAACAGGACCCAGAAATATGTAAAGACTGAGCTACCCAAAGGCTGCATCTAGGTTTTGATATGGCTCTAATTAAAAAATCAAGTTTACTGGTCTTGGCATGATTTAAACTGAACACTGCTTTCTTGTAAGAGAAATGATGGACATGAAGGGAACAACACGATGACTTGACTTGCATGCATAGAGTGATTGAACTTATTGCTTATACAACATGAACCTAAAGCAGCAATGTGAAGTTTTCCCCCTTAATTATGTATGATTCTTTTAGATATCTGTAAAAATGATAGTCTAACCCTGTACTGTCATATACTGTAATGTAGGCAACATAATTTCCTTTTTTTGCATGCAATTTGAACTCAGTGTTAGCCAATAGCGTTTGACATCCACTGATGTACAGCCTCCCTTGTACAGAAGTAGACTGATGCAGAGTTGTCGACGTTTCTCGTGGCCAACTAAGTCTCTAAACATCTAAAAATATGAATAAACAGCACAAGGTGTATGTTCACAAACAAGAAGCGTTGCTTCCGGTTGTAATCGTGGAAATAGGGGGAGGGGCTTATTGTGCAATACATGTTTCCGCCTCTAGATGGTGCCTCCTCAGAAAAACCTCCAGATTTCTGCTTTCAGTCGAAAACTGAAACACTTCAAGCTGAATGTTTATTTCATAAAGAAATGAAAGTCAAACTTTTAGCCTGAAACTGATCAAACTCTCTTTCACCCCTTTCAGGCCAGAACACTCAGGAAAAATCTGGGATTTCCTTCAAGACAACATTCCTCAATTTAAACACCAGGATGAGAGTTTGACGGTGACGACTCATGACACGTTAGATCCAGCTGCAGGGATAGATTCTTCTCTAAATGAGAATAAGAGTCTGCTGATGAAACCAGGTCCAGACAGCATCACCAGTAAACACAAACATACTTGACACGCTTAAACGTAATAAAAAAAATTTATGAATCACAGAACATTTTAAATACATTCTGTAGGTTATTTAAATTTGCCCCTCCCATTTTTATGCTGTTAAATGTTAAATAGTTTCAGGTTTCTATTATTTGGAATCACGTTTGTGATTTGTGGTCCTTAGCCTTCAGAAACGCTGAAATGAATGTTATTTGTTGCATCGTCTCCTTCTGGAGTCCTATCTTTGCAAAAGAATATTTTTTGCTTTTACAAAACAGCTGCATGGAGATAACAAAGGGTTAATGCTTATATGGTGAATCATAAACCAGCAGAGGGAGCAGTGTAGGGGCATGAGATATCTGGTCCCTCCTCAGGGCAGGGGAGCCTCCCAAGTTAACTGTGGTTGTCTGGTAGAGGCAGCATTCAAATAGAAGTGTGACTTTTGATTTTTTCAGATCATAGTAGTTCCACTGAGATCTTTGCAATACCTCAAAAATTGTTTTTAAGAGAATTTAAATGTGGTATTCAATTAGCACTTGATTCTCCAAGCCAAGGGAGTAATTAAGATGTAGTTGAAAAATGACAGTAAATAGAAAAAAAAATGCAGGACAAAATGTAATTTGGATCATTTGTGCCTCATTGCTTGCAATAAAAACCAAAAATCTTTCTCTTTTCCTACCCGGCTTTTCCTGGAACTGTAATCCCTCTAATAATTCAAACGTGATGCTAACATAAAGCAGTGGTGCGCATGTGTGAGTGGGATTACTTGACAGGATATTTTACAGAATAAATGCATCACCTTGTGTTTCCATAAACATTAAAGAAGGGGGTACAAACATTTATTTGTCTTTCTGTGCTACGGCACTCTAATAGCTTATTAAATGCATAAATTAAAATTTAGAGTGAGAAGTACTTTGCTGTTAAATATTTTAATGTGCTGTCTTCATATTAGCCTTGCACAACTCTCATCTCCTCTCACAGGCCTCGCAAATAGATTTTTCATGTCTCCTGGCTCACATGCTCAATATATTTAAAACGCACTATAGGGTACAAACCATCTTCATAAGAATATGCCCTGTTGTATTAATAGTTGTGGAAGCCAGCATCCTGCAGGGATATATTTACTTTGATTGGACATTTTTAGTTAAATATCAGGTTATTCCGGTTTCTCACTAATGGTGTTTTGCTTTGCTAATTTCAGACACACCATGTTTATGTGCAGAATTTCACTCCTTCAGCTCCTCTGATTTTCTTCTTTTTTCTGTTATTTTCAGGTTCTGATGAAGTAGTGATATGTGCTAGCTTCTACCCAAGACGCCTGGACGACGGTGGCTATGATTATGGCCAAATGGTACAAACTGACTTATATTTGATATATTTTTTCCTTATTGTTTGTCCTTTTTTGCAAGTTACTTACTGAAGATTTGTTCTTGAGACTCATTATATTGTCAGTCAAAAATAATAGAATTCCCAGCTTTATTTTACCATCAAATGTTAATAGATAGGAAAACATGCATTTTTTATTTCATTTTTTTTAAATATTTTTCTGCTTTCAACAGAAAGTACAAGTATGATAAATTTTAGAAAAGAGTTTAAAAGCTGCAGTTGTTTGGCCCTGATTGTGCTACAACGATTATTTCTTCACGGTTTTGCAGGCATATTCCTCAGAAATGTTACGCCGCTACGGCTTGTGCCTGCTGTACAACCATGTTGTCCTTTTGACTCAAACCCGTGCGTGCCCGCTGGAACCACCACCAAAACCTCCTGTTGTTCCCAGATGGAAACTCGTTCGTCCACAACGCAAGAAGGTGCAGGTCTTCTCTGAAACACAGGGTGGGTGAAACTGTGGACATGAAGCTGAAAAATGCTAAAGTGTGTCTAGAAATGAAACGGTGCTGAGGTGGATCTGCGTGTCCAATGCACAAGAATTTATCAAGCAAATAAAGCATTAATTATTCCAATATTGCACAAGCTCAGGCTTAGCTGGCACAAGCTGATTTCTGATGTTGATCAAACAGTTTTGGCATGATGTGTGAAGTTTTTTTTTCCTCTCTGATGCTCTTTTTTTACAGTGTTGCATGTGCCAAAACCAGAGACGTTCATTGAGGTTGCCAGCCCTTTTCTTTTCTATGGTGTCCAAAGCAGCAGTGATTCTGTCCCAGAGCTGCATGTAACATTGTGATGTCTAAATGTAATAATCTACATCATGTAGATTCTGCTCTCTACAAAAGGTTCTGGTTTTTGATCATTCTGATTCTAATGAATACATCGTTGATGGAATGTGACACTCTTTGGGCTTTACTGAATTTATGATGAGTGTGTTGGTTTGTCAGAGATGCCAAGAGAAGAACTCCAAAGAAGACGTCCTTCAGAACTAATTTGGCGTCCATTACTGAGGCAGACGAAAAAAAGTATGAGGTGAGCCTTCAGCCCGAAAGTATTGACAAATCAGATTTATACAAACTGATTCACAGAGTTTTATTATATACATTATCAAACAAGTAGATTTAACATTAGAAAATGGTTTAGAGGAAATCCTGTGAATATTCATCAAGATCTATGGAAGCCCATTCCCACCACTCTGATAAATTTCTCATTATTATGAGATGGCATCTTTATATCATTACAAAACTCTCATTACATAGCTATCATGATTTTGAGATATTATCACATCGGGCAGCAGTAGCTCACGAGGCAGAGTGAGTTGTCCAGTAATCGGAAGGTTGCAGGTTCGATTTTGACTCCAGCCAGAGAATACTGCTGTTGTCCTTGGACAAGACACTCAGCCGGCCTTGCCTGCCGGTGGTGGTCAGAGGCACTGGTGGTGCCTGTGCTTGGAAAGCCTCACCTCTGTCAGTGTGCCCCAGTACAGATGTGGCTACAATGTAGCTCATCACCACCTGTGTGTCAGTTAATGAATGATACACTGTAGTTTAAAGCGCTTTGAGTCCTCTGAATCAAAAAGGCACTATACAAATGCAGGTACGGTGTTTCCCCTAAAAAAAATTCCCTAAATATGATACATTGCCTCATTATTCTGAGATAGTATCACATAATAATAATATAGTAGTATCTCATAATAATGTATAGTATCTCATTATCATGACTAGACTCTCATTATTATGAGACAGTGATACTATCTCATAATAATGACAGCTAAATCATAATAATATAAAACTATCATAGTTATGAGATACTATCTCATAATTATAAGATAGTATTTCATTATTTTGAAATACCATGTCATTATTTTGAGATAGCATCTCAATATTATGAGATATAATTTTACTGTTATGAGATAGTATTTCATTATTATGAGATAATATTTCATTATTATGAAATAGTATTTCATTATTATGAAATAGTGTTTCATTATTATGAGATAGTATTTCAATGTTATGAGATAGTATTTCAATGTTATGAGATAGTATTTCATTATTATGAAATAACATTTCATTATTATGAGATAGTATTTTATTATTATGAAATAGTATCTCATAATTATGAGATACCATTTCATTATTATGAGATAGTATTTTATTATTTTGAGATACCATCTCCTCCTCCTTATCATGGTGGAGGAGTTTGCGTGCCCTAATGATCCTAGGAGCTATGTTGTCTGGGGCACTCTTTGCCCCTGGTAGGGTCTCCCATGACAAATTGGTCTTAGGTGAAGGGTGAGACTAAGAACAGTTCAGTGCATCTTTCATGTATGTACAATCAAGGAGTCGGAGTACCCGGCCCAGAGGGTTACCAGGGTCCCACCCTGGAGCCAGGCCTGAGGTTGGGGCCCATGAGCGAGCGCCTGGTGGCCGGGCTTTCGCCCATGGGGCCCGGCCTGGCCCAGCCCGAACCAGATACATGGGCTCACCTAACTGTGGACCCACCACCCGCAGGAGGAACATGAAGGGTCCAGTGCAGTGTGGATCGGGTGGCAAACCGAGGCGGGAACCTTGGCGGTCCGATCCCCGGACAAGGAAACTGGTTTTTGGGACATGGAACGTCACCTCACTGGCGGGGAAGGAGCAGGAGCTTGTGGCAGAGGTTGAGCGGTACCGGCTAGTTATAGTCGGACTTACCTCGACACATAGCATTGGCTCTGGAACCCAAGTCCTTGAGAGGGGTTGGACACTCTCCTTTGCTGGAGTTGCTCCGGGTGAGAGGCGGAGTGCTGGGGTTGGCTTTTTGTTTGCCCCAAGACTCTCTGCCTATGTGTTGGGGTTTAGGATGAGAGGGTAGCTTCCCTGCGCCTTCTGGTCGGGGAATGGGTCCTGACTGTTGTTTGTGCTTATGGGCCAAATATCAGTTCAGAGTACCCACCCTTTTTGGAGTCCCTGGGATGAGTGCTAGATAGTGCTCCACCAGGGGACTCCATCGTCCTGCTGGGGGACTTCGATGCTCACGTGGGCAATGACAGCATGACCTGGAGGGATGTGATTGGGAGGAACAGCCTGCCTGATCTGAACTTGAGTGGTGTTTCATTATTGGACTTCTGTGCAAGCCGCAGTTTGGCGAAAACGAACACCATGTTCGAACATAAGGATGCCCATCGGTACACTTGGTACCAGGGCAGCCTAGGTCGCAGGTCGATGATAGACTTTGTAGTCGTATCATCTGACCTGCGGCCATGTGTTTTGGACACCCGAGTGAAGAGAGGAGAGGAGCTGTCAACTGATCACCACCTGGTGGTGAGTTGGATCAGATGGCAGGGGAAGATGCTGCGTAGACCTGGCAGACCCAAACGCATAGTGAGGGTCTGCTGGGAACGCCTGGCAGAAGAACCTGTCAAGTTGCTGAGGTAGTCAAACAACTACACAGTGGTGGAGCCCCGGGGGCGGATGAGGTTCGTCCTGGGTATCCCAAGGCTATGGATGTTGTAGCGCTGTCATGGTTGACACATCTCTGCAACATTGTGTGGTCATCGGGGGCAGTTCCTGTGGAGTGGCAGACCAGGGTGGTGGTCCCCATCTTTAAGAAGGGTGACCTGAGGGTGTGTTCCAACTATAGGGGGATCACACTCCTCAGCCTCCCTGGAAAGGTCTACTCCAAGGTACTGGAGAGGAGGGTCCGATCGATAGTTGAATCTCAGATTGAGGAGGAGCAAGGTGGTTTTCGTCCTGGCCGTGGAACTGTGGACCAGCTCTATACCCTTGCAAGGGTGATGGAGGGGGCATGGGAGTTTGCCCAACCAATCCACATGTGTTTTGTGGATTTGGAGAAGGCTTATAACCGTGTCCCCAGGGGCACCCTGTGGGGAACACTCCAGGAGTATGGGGTGGGTGGCTTTCTGTTAAGGGCCATTCAGTCCTTGTCACCGGTTCTGTTCATTACCTTTATGGACAGAATTTCCAGGCACAGCCGTGGTGTGGTGTGTGTCGAGTTTGGTGGCAGGAGAATCTCGTCTGTGATGTGGTCCTCCTAGCTTCATCCAGCTCTGACCTTCAGCTCTTGCTGGGTAGGTTTGCGGCCGAGTGTGAAGCGGCTGGGATGAGGATCAGCACCTCCAAATCTGAGACCATGGTTCTCGACTGGAAAAGGGTGGCTTGCCAACTCCGGGTCGGGAGAGAGGTCCTACCTCAAGTGGAGGAGTTTAAGTATCTCGGGGTCTTGTTCACGAGTGAGGGTAGGAGGGATCGGGAGATCGACAGGCAGATTGCTTCAGCGTCTGCAGTGATGCGGAAGCTGAGCCGATCTGTTGTGGTGAAGAGGAAGCTGAGACAGAAAGCCAGGCTCTCGATTTACCGGTCAATCTACATCCCAATCCTCACCTATGGTCATGAGCTTTGGGTAATGACCGAAAGAACGAGATTGCGGATACAAGCAGCCGAAATGAGTTTCCTCCGTAGGGTGGCCGGGCTCAGCCTTAGAGATAGGGTGAGGAGCTCGGACATTCGGGAGGGACTCTGAGTAGAACCGTTGCTCCTCCAGATCGAAAGGAGTCAGTTGAGGTGGTTTGGACATCTGGTCAGGATGCCTCCTGGACGTCTCCCTGGGGAGGTGTTTTGGGCATGTCCTGCCGGCAGGGGTCCCCCGGGTCGATCCAGGACACTTTGGAAAGGTTACATCTCCAACCTGGTCCGGGAACGCCTTGGGGTCCTGCCGGAGGAGCTGGTGGAGGTGGCTGGGGAGAGGACGGTCTGGAGCTCCCTAGTTGGGATGCTGCCCCCGCGACCCGGACCCGAATATGCGGAGGAAGAGGACGACGACGAGATACCATCTCATTACTATGAGATATAATTTCATTATTATGAGATCATATTTCACTGTTATTAGATAGTAGTTTATTATTATGAGATAGTATCTCAAAATAATGAGATATTTTTTTTAATCATAGTGGCGGGAATGTGCGTCTATAAAGAGTCATCTCTGATAATTAATTTCCATCCATCCATCCATCCATCCATCCATCCATCCATCCATCCATCCATCCATCCATCCATCCATCCATGATAAATAAAATGACCCACACTTGTATAGCGCCTCTCAGAGTAAGGACGCCAAAGCGCTTTACACTACAGTGTATCATTCATCCATTCACACACACATTCATACACTGGTGGAGCTGCCGAGCACAGGCACCACCGGACCCTCCGACCATCACCAACAGGCAAGGTGGGTTAAGTGTCTTGCCCAAGGACACAACAGCAGAATTCTCTGTCCGGAGCCGGGATCGAACCTGCAACCTTCCAATTACTGGACAACCCGCTCAACCCGTTGAGCTACTGCTGCCCCATCCATCCATCCATCCATCCATCCATTTTCATCCGCTTATCCGGAGTCGAGTCACGGGGGCAGTAGCCTAAAGCGAGAGGCCCAGACTTCCCTCTCCCCAGCTCCTCCGGGGGAATCCCAAGGTGTTCCCTGGCCAGGTGAGAGACATAGTCCCTCCACCGTGTTCTGGGTCTACCTTTTATGTCTCCTCCCAGTTGGACTCTTCCGGAAAACCTCACCAGGGAGGCATCCAGGAGGCATCCTGACCAGATGCCCGAGCCACCTCAACTGGCTCCTCTCGATGTGGAGGAGCAGCGGGTCTACTCCGAGCCCCTCCCGAACGACCGAGCTTCTCACCCTATCTCTAAGGGAGAGACCAGCCACTCTTCAAAGAAAACTCATTTCGGCCGCTTGTATCTGCGATCTCGTTCTTTCGGTCACTACCCAAAGCTCATGACCAAAGGAGAGGGTAGGAAAGAAGATCAACCGGTAAATCGAGAGCTTCACCTTCTGACTCAGCTCTCTCTTCACCACGACAGACCGGTACAACGTCCACATCACTGCAGATGCAGCATCAATCCACCTATCGATCTCATGCTCCAGTTTTCCCTCACTCGTGAACAAGACACCGAGATACTTAAACTCCTCCACTTGGGGGCAGGACCTCAACCCTGACCCGGAGAAGGCATTCTACCCTTTTCCGAATCAAGACCATGGTCTCAGATTTAGAGGAGCTGATGTGGGCATTTCTGTTATTCTTAAGGTGTTGCCAGTCCCCACATGCCCAAGACAGTGGCAAGAAACGGGGTCAAAAGGTGGGCCACAGAGATAAGATTGGACCCACACTGAAACACACTGAACTGGCTTATGCGAGTAAAATCAGCCAGAAGACAGGAGCCCAACTGCACAACAAGCATCCAAGCTGAGGGTTACAGAAGGGTCACAGGGACAAGAGGACAGAACTGGGCAAAGGGTCAGGAGGCAGGCTGGCTCCACCTCTGGCGGGAAAAGAAGGACTGGAATAGAGTGAAGACAGCCCATTGGATCGAGAAGCCCTCTCAGGAATGCCGAAGGGAGACCGACAATTTGCTACAAACATGATGATTTATGATCTGTGCCCTCATGTAGAATGCTGCATGTAGTGATCTGTGCCCTCATGTAGAATGCTGCATGTAGTGATAATGACACCAGATGTTTTGTGTTGAGCTAAAAAGTGTGTATCTGGTAAATGACCCCATGACCTTACTGTCATGAGATAATGATATATGTGACTTTTACCTTGTCTAAAGCTGACCCAGGAATGATATAAAAGAGCAGCTCTGAGCAGAGCTGGGATGGAGTTTTTTGGGGCAGTCGACAGAGACAAAAGGAGCTCGAAGACAGAGTTGGTGTAAATCAACTCCTTATTTCTTAATTAATCATTAGGACTAATTCCTCCTTGGTGGAAGTGGTTAAACTTATATCTACTCATTTTTGTATTTTTTAATCTTGTAATAAACTTTTTTAAAAATAATCTACATTCCTGATTCTTAAAAGTTCCTCTTTGAAGGGGCCAGTGGGAGCCCTGACCATATTGAGGAGAGGTAAGCACATTAATCATAGGTTCCTGAATTATCAGGATTTACTTTACGGTTTGTGACAGATTAATATAAAAAAACCTTAAGATAAAAGGAGCTTGTCTCCTTCCTCTCCCGCGAGTAACGAGATGTCTTAAGGATGATAAAACCAAAACATTAGAGGTTAATTTTGGCTCTGATTGCAAGTGTGAAAAAGTCTCTATCAGCGCTGGGAGGTTGGATTAATTAGATAAATTGATAAATCTATGTTAGCCTGATCAACTAACAAGAATCATTTTATAGTTACCAACCACCCACATAAGCTGACAGGGGCGCAATTAATCCAAATAACCCAAATAATTGCCAGTGGGCTGGCCTCCCGCTGGGTTTCATCCCTAGTATCTAAACCAATAGATAACGGGATTGATTAAAAAGAAGTGGGCTATTACAAAGGTACAAGTCATGCATATCATTCTACCTTAAAATAGAAGACTGATTCTAAACTTAGGGAGTCCAAAACCAGGGTCTAGTGTGATAAAACTCACCAATATCCTCACCAAACCCTGAAAGATGCACAGTCTCATTAGTTCTAACGGAACTGGGTTTTAACGGAACCGACAAATGGGACGTGCACGCAACAAAGGAAGGAGTCGGGGACGGAGTTCTCAGCTGGACAGTGCGGGCCTTTTTAATTTATCTGCTCTCAGCTTTCAGGACAGCCAAGAGACAAAAGACCCAGTCCAATCGTCCAGTCACAAATTTATACCCTTTTTGCTACAGTGTTGACACAGCAACAGGAAACATCTGGGAACATCTGTCCACTTCTTATAAGCGCTTAATATAAACACTTCCTCTTTCTGGAGACTTTTGGCTGGACCACAAGAACATTTTGGTTCACATCTGTTTACTGTTAATCATGTCAGATAAGCATCAGACTTTACCGGAAGCACATCTCAGCTGGCCAAAACATGAAATTCCTTGGAGCTGATGGTGAAACAGCACATGAACTCTGACTAGAAACACATCTCAGTAAGCTTTTAACCTAAGGACTCACAATTCAGCTCAATACATTTTGTAGATGACCTCTTGACCTTTTTGGCGACAACACTGATTCTCATCCCATCTACTTTACACTCGGCTGCGAATCGCTCCAGCGAAAGCTGAAGATCACGTTCTGATGAAGCCAACAGGACCACATCCTCTGCAAAAAGCAGAGACCTGATCCTCAGGCCACCAAAACGGATGCCCTCCACACCTCGGCTGCGCCTAGAAATCCTGTCCATAAAGGTTATAAACAGAATCGGTGACAAAGGGCAGCCTTGGCGGAGTCCAACTCTCACTGGGAACAAGCCCGACTTACTGCCGGCAATGCGGACCAAGCTCTGACACCGGTCATACAGGGACCTAACAGCCCGTATCAGAAGGCCTGGTACCCCATACTCCCAGAGTACCCCCCACAGGGCCCCCCGAGGGACGCGGTCAAACGCCTTGTCCAAATCCACAAAACACATGTAGACTGGTTGGGCAAATTCCCACGCACCTTCCAGGATCCCCCTGAGGGTATAGAGTAGGGCTGCAACAACAAATCGATAAATTCGATGAAAATCGATTACTAAAAGCATTGGCAACGAATTGCGTCATCGATTCGTTGTGTCACACAACTCTTCCAAAAGCGCCCCCCCTTCCCGCCCGCCGTTGCGCGCAGACCAGAGCAAGTCAGATCAGCGCGAGGGAGAGCCGGCAGATGAGCGCAAGGGAGAGCCGGCAGATCAGCGCGAGGGAGAGCCTCAGATCAGCGCGAGGGAGAGCCAGCAGATCAGCGCGAGGGAGAGCCGGCAGATCAGCGCGAGGGAGAGCCTCAGATCAGCGCGAGGGAGAGCCGGCAGATCAGCGCGAGGGAGAGCCTCAGATCAGCGCGAGGGAGAGCCGGCAGATCAGCGCGAGGGAGAGCCGGTACTGGCAGATCAGGGAGGGAGAGCCGGCAGACTTGCGCTGCTGCGAACCGGTTCCGCCCAAGGCCGGATTAACTGGGCAATTGCCCAGGGCCCACGAACAGGTCCCTGATCGTTATCTTATTCAACCCTCGATAGTCTATGCAGGGCCGGAGATCCCCCTCCTTCTTCTTTACAAAGAAAAACCCCGTGGCCCCGGGGGATGTTGAGGGTCGGATGAAGCCCTTCTGCAGGGCATCAGTTATATAATTGTCCATAGCCCGGGTTTCCGCCGGAGAGAGGGAGAACAGGCGACCCCGAGGGGGGGGTGGTGGTGCCGGGTTGGAGCCTGATCTCCAGGTCGTAGGGTCGGTGAGGAGGTAACCTGGTAGTGGGTTCTTTAGCGAAGACCTGAGCGAGGTCGTGGTATTGAGGAGGGATGAGCGTCAGGTCGACGTCTGTGGGAGGGGATGCTCCAGTCCGAGGTGCAGGGGAGTCCCGGTGGTTATGGCAACCCGTGCCCCAGGCCAGGACTTTACTGGTGGACCAGGAGATGTGAGGCTCATGGCAGCAGAACCAGGAATGACCCAGGATGAGAGGCGTAGCCGGAGCCTGGATGACCAGGAAGTGGAGGGTCTCCCGGTGTTGGTCAATAGTCATGTGGAGACCCTGAGTTCGGTGGGTGAGAGGGTACGGCATGATGGGCCGGCCGTCCACAGAGGTCACGGGAATGGGTCGGTCGAGGGCGGTGAGGGGTATCTTGAGCCGAGTAACCAGTCAGTGATCGATAAAACACTCCTCAGCCCCAGTGTCTAAAAGTGCCTCCAGTCTGGTCGGGCCTTGGTCCAGGTGGAGGGAGACCGGGAGAGTGGTTCGGTGTGGAGCCGGAAAAGTGGAGACTCCGGGCGGGACAGCTGCTACTCCGACCCGGAGGGACCTTTTCCCGGTCGTTTTGGGCACGTGCCACGGTGGTGACCCAAATCCCCACAGTAAGCGCATCTTCCCTCCTGGTAGTGCCGTGCCCGTTCCTCGGGGGGAAGATGTCCCAGCTGCATCGGCTCCTCCGTCGGTTGGTGAGCCGGCCGGCGGGGTGACGTCCTGGTGTGTACGGGGGCTGACATGGTGCTCGGCCAGTTCAGGATGCAGCGGTCCAGTTGGAGAGCCTGATCCACTGCCAGGTCCAGGGAGGTTGGGAACTCGTGCCCGATCATGCCCTCCCGGATTCTCGGTGACAGTCCCTCCAGGTAAACGGCCTTTAGGGCGGCGTCATCCCACCTCAACCGAGCTGCTGTCGTCCGGAAGCGAGAGGTGTACTGAGCCGCCGTCTGGGAGCCCTGGCGAAGCTGAAGCAGCCGCGTCTCGTCCGAGACCTCGCTGCTGGGGTGCACAAAAGTCTTTTTCATCTCCTTTACAAAGTCTCATAGTCATTGCAGGCAAGAGATTTCTGATTGTAGAGAGCCGCCGCCCATTCACCGGCTCGACCTGTCAGCAGTGAGGTCAGCAGGGCGACACGAGAGCAGGATGTGGGGTAACGTGCCGGCTGGCACTCGAAAGTCATGGCCAGGGTCGCCAACATGCCCTCCGGGGATCCCCTGGTTCCGTCCCACTTCTCTGGAAGGCTGAGGCGTGGTTCCATCCTGTCAGGAACAGCTGCGGTCTGACATTGCAGAGCGGTGGTCAGCTGGAGTACTAGCTCGGTGAGTGACTCGATCTTGGTGGCTTGGCGATCAGCTATGGCACGGAGCTGGTTCATTTCTGCCGTATGCTGATCCAAGTTTGCACGCTGTTGAGCCACTTCGGCACGCAGACGCGCGAACTCCGCTGGGTCAACTTGGGGCTCAGTCATCCTGTCAGGTTCGTTGGCAGATCTGAAGCGTGACTGAGAGTTCTGTTGCCCAGACGCGGAGAGATGGAGATAACCGGCGTGGTTATTTCCTGTAGGTTTGGCTTGAGGGTTTAGAGGGCTGGTAAGCCTGGAGACTCGATACAAAGTCTGGTGAGAACGATGACTGAGCAATGAATGAAACGCCGGCACTTCCTTAAGTAGTGTCGGCGTGATGACGTCAGTCGCCACGTTGGTGGCAGGAATGAATGGAATGCAGTCAGCTGGAGGAGTTCGTGACATTAATCTGGCCCTGGTTCCGCCGTCACATTCCCGCAGAAACTGGTTGATCACACCGGGGCCAGACTACTAGCATGTGGTTTTACAACCACAATGTCCTCGGAAGCAAAAACGCTTTTAAAAGGGAGGGAGGAGTCCTAACTGTTGCTGCAGGCGTGTTGTGTGAGAGTGCAGTTATATACTGGTTAATATATTTTTGGGTTCAGTTGCTTTCATGTGGCCTAATGTGAGTCTATTTGGGATCATTGGAATGATCAGCAGCATTTCTTGATGTGACTTTATGGCAGTTGCCCAGGGCATAATCATAAGGGGGATGGCATTCATTTACTTTTGTTTTATTTGGTATTTTTTCAGTCATTTTTGGAAATAGCGATCAATTTTGATTAATTCACAGCCTATGTTTAACTACATTTAAAAATTAGTTGTTTGACATCCCCAGTTATAATAAATGTCAACAGATGAGATCAAACAAAACAGATGAGAATTGCCCTTAAGCTGTTTAACTTGGACCAAGCATTTTAGAACACAGATAGATGTAGCTTAGGGTCTCTGTCTATACACCTTATAAGACAATTTAGGTGATGGCATGTTGTTTTTCTGCTATTGAACTGTTTTCTAATAATGTTGTGTTAAATAAAGTGAAGGAAGGAGAGAAATAACGTTCCCCTAGCAGTTTTTAAAAATTTCCCCATGTAATCCGATTAATCGATTAATCGTGTCGAGACCCCATCCGAGTCATCGATTATCCAAATAATCGTTTGTTGCAGCCCTAGTATAGAGCTGGTCCAGTGTTCCACGGCCAGGACGAAAACCACATTGCTCTTCCTGAATCTGAGGTTCAACAATCCAATGGACCCTCCTCTCCAGAACCCCTGAATAGACCTTACCAGGAAGGCTCAGGAGTATGATCCCCCCTGAAGCTGGAACACACCCTGCAGTCCCCCTTAAGGGGACCACCACCCCGGTCTGCCAGTCCAGTGGGACTGCCGCCGATGTCCATGCGATATTGCAGAGCCACGTCAGCCAACACAGCCCCACAACATCCAGAGCGTTAAGGAACTCCGGGCGGATCTCATACACCCCTGGAGCCTTGCCACAGAGGAGCTTTTTAACCACCTCAGTGACCTCAGCACCAGAGATTTGAGAGACCAACCCAAAGTCCCCAGACTCTGCTTCCTCACTGGAAGATGTGTCAGTGGGATTGAGGAGGTCTTCAAAGTATTCTGCCCACCCATCCACAACGTCCTGAGTAGAGATCAGTAGCACACTGTCCCCCCTATAGATAGTGTTGGTAGCGCACTGCTTTCCCCCCCTGAGGTGCCGGATGGTGGACCAGAATCTCCTCGAAGCCATACGGAAGTCTTGCTCCATGGTCTCACCGAACTCCTCCCATGCCCGGGTTTTTACCTTGACGACCACCCGAGCTGTGTTCCACCTGGACTGCCAGTACCCGTCAGCTGCTTCTGGAGTCCCACAGGCCAAAAAGACCTGATGGGACTCTTTCTTCAGCTTGACAGCATCCCTAACCGCCGGTATTCACCAGCGGGTTCGGGGGTTGACACCATGATAGGCACCGACGATCCTGCGACCACAGCTCCGGTTGGCCGCCTCAACAATGGAGGCATGGAACAGTGTCCATTCAGACTCAATGTCCCCTGCCTCGCCTGGAACATTTTGGAAGTTTTGTCTGAGGTGGGAATTGAAGCTCCTTCTGACAGGAGACTCTGCCCGACATTCCCAGCAGACCCTTGCGATACGTTTGGGCCTGTCTGGTCTGACCGGCATCCTCCCCCACCATCTGAGCCAACTCACCACCAGGTAGTGGTCAGTTGACAGCTCTGCCCCTCTTCACCCGAGTGTCCAAGACATGTGGCCACAGGTCAGACGAAACAACAACAAAGTCGACCATCAAGCTGCGGCCTAAGGTATCCTGGTGCCAAGAGCACATATGGACACCTTTATGTCTGAACATGGTGTTCATTATGGACACTCCATGACTGGCACAGAAGTCCAATAACAAAACACCACTCGCATTCAGATCGGGGGGCCGTTCCTCCCAACCACACCTCTCCAGGTCCCACTGTCGTTGCCCACGTGAGCGTTAAAGTTCCCCAGCAGAACGAGGGAGTCACCAGAAGGAGTGCTTTCCAGCACCCCCTCCAAGGTCTCCAAAAAGGGTGGGTAGTCTGAACTGTACTTTGGTGCATAAGCACAGACCACAGTCAGAACCCATCCCCCCCCACACGTAGGCGGAGGAAGGCTACCCTCTCATTCACTGGGGTAAACCACAACGTACAGGCACCAAGATGGGGGGCAACTAGTATGCCCAACCCTGCTCGGCACCTCTCAGTGGGAGCAACTCCAGAGTGGTAGAAAGTCCAACCCCTCTCAAGGAAACTGGTTCCAGAGCCAGAGCCATGCGTTGAGGTGAGTCCGACTATATCTAGTCGGAACCTCCCAACCTCACACACCAACTCAGGCTCCTTCCCCACCAGAGAGGTGACATTCCATGTGCCAAGAGCCAGCTTCTGTAGCTGAGGATCAGACCGCCAAGGTCCCCGCCCTCGACTACCACCCATCACACATAATTAATGATAATTAATTTCTCCCAAAAAAATCAAACATCTGCTTGTGTTACTTCATTATTTGTTTCCTGGTTCCCTCACACCTCAGTACTCTCTAAATATGCAGCTAGAGGCTACTCATTTTAGCTCTGTGTTTCAGTGACAGCAAGGCTGCCATCGCCCAGTCTCAAAGTCACTTCTGTTATTTCCTAGTCAGGCCACAGCTGACCAGAGGCACATTTGGACTAAAGAGAGAACCGACTCAGAAAGGGACATACTGCAGGGGTTATGTCCAGAGCAACATCTCTCCAGTGATAAAGACAGAAGTAGAGATTGGAGCAAAGCAGGGAAAGTTCGGAAGGGTGAGATAAAAGCAGAGCGAAGGGAAAGGGGGAGGGGGGATTTCAGTTGTGTGACGGTAGTGAATGGGCCGCGTGGGCTTCATCCAGAGAGAGGTCGTGCACTGTGCTGATGAAAAAAGCAGCGCAATTAGATGATGAGCCATCAGTGTCTGTGTCTCTTGGGGGGCTTCATTATCACACTTCACTCCTAGAATACAGAGGGAAAAAATAGAGTCCATATTAATCACCCTCTTGTGTATCTGTGACCGGCTATATAGCAGTCAGGCTGGAGCAGTGGAGACGTGCCGAGCTTAGAGTCAGACGTTATCTGTTTGTGTCATATGTGTGATCCTGCTTCTCACAAACACATGGTGGGTCATGTGCTGAGAAACTTGTGAATCAAGCAAGGATGACTTTTGCAGTTTCGACATATTCCTACGGTTTTTGGGAGTCTGATAGAATCGAGCTGCTTTCCTTAGTCCAGGACAGAGCGAGGTGTTGTCACATGACATCTCTAATACGTATATGGGCTATACTATTAGCACAAAATTCCTGTTTTCATTTTGTTTTTTTTAAGTGTGCATGAAGGTCATTTCTCCAGAAATTATTAAATGTGACAAAACTCTTACTAAAGAGTGGGTTTAAATGCTCCCTTTTCTACAAATTGCATCTAGAAATGATCGTAAGAAAAAAAAAGTAGCTGTCTCTTCTGAAAGCGGCAGCTGAAAATCCCAGGGGTCCTCTGTGCAGAATCTATCAGTCTCAATGTTCCCTCTCCACGCAGACCGACAAGACAAATATTCTCATGCAATCGTACGCAGTGGGAGCACTGAACATCTCGTGTCTTGGAGCTTGACCGAAAGATTTGTGCACACAAACATATACATGCTGCTGACATTTCTGTTGCAGGAAAGCTCTTCTACAGAGGCAGAGATGAGGTCAAGTGTGCCTCCCAATCACAATGCCTCTTTCCGTCTGTCTGAGTCTCTGGGTGCTTATTTGAATAGGCAGTGACTCACACGCAGCTCCACACACACATGCACACACAGTCTCTCTGAGTCATGAGAGAGTCTTGGCAGGGGTTGCCTTGAAGTTACACAACACAAAGACCAAATTCTTGTTCAAAGCCGAGTAAACTGTTGGACATGAACATCGAATGAATGGACCTGCAGGGATGTTCAGATAACCGAGAGGTGCTCTTTGATGTAAATGACCTCAACTCTTCTTTTTAGAACACATCATCCATAATTTTATGTGGGTATTTTTCTGTGTCCAGTCCAAAACCAACCATTATATTCCTGAATGCTTGCATTTAACCTGATAAAATTCCAATCAGATTTTATTAAGTCTTAGATTGGATGTGAAGAAAAGGAACCAAACAAAAATGCAACAGGACAAATAAAACACTCTAAAGAAAAAAAACCCACTGATTTCCTTAGATCACTAAGGAGGACACCAGAGTTATAGGGTGAATCAGCTTTACAAAGACTAACATACTAATGCCTCATCTGCTACATGCAAAGTAAATTAGATGTAGTATTAGCTTGTGTGTTTGTTTAGCTGGAGAGGAGCATCCCCCATCATGTTAAACCGGGTGCCGCCGCTTGGCAAAAGCTGCGCAACATCCCACCTGGCAAGAAAATACAAGAGGGAGGAAGCAAATCTCTCGCATTGGTACTCTGTCAGCAGCTCACAGTTCATGCCTCTCTCTCTCTCTCTCTCTCTCTCTCTCTCTCTCGCTTTTCTCTTTTTTTCACGCTCTCGTTGTCCCCGTAGGATACAACAAAGGACGAGATAAAGGACAACGTTCACATCTCCACTGGTAAAAGCTCATCTCTGTGCAGCGCTTTCAACATTTGAAAGATAAATTAGCACGCTCGCTTGCCTCCCCATGTGTCAAATATTTGACGACCAAAATGAAAAGTACTCATTAATTGTCTTGTTGGCAACGGACAGACATCTCAAAGATCCCTGTATTTGGTTCACCTAAACAGAGTCAATGCCACGTTGCTTAGGTTAGTACGATCCAAAGCATTTGCATCCATATTTTCTTGTTTCTCTTTGGGCTGAGATTTCAAAAAGATAGGTCTAAAATTATGCTTTGTGACACCGAAGCAGTTCTCTGCCCCCGTTTAGTTGCTTAGTAACACCTGCAATTTGAGTTAGCAGACCCCCGTTGCTGAGCGGCAGAGATGCTGGCCTTTGCCACCTCAGCTTACTGACCAGAATTTTGCCTCAAGTAGGGCTCGGAGGCAGACGGTTTGCATGCACATGTGTGTGTTGTAGGGGATGGAGAGTCTGTGTATATATGTCTATGACTTAGCGCAGCATGCATAGAGATAGTAGGAATCTGTGAGTGGGAGTCGGGACGTGCATGTGCACTTACACTCTGCCGCTGTGTGGGAGTTTGGCTAGTTTAGCTCACTGTAGCGATTTGAGACTAGGATAACTTGCTGTGAGTCGCAAGCATTTCGTTACTTTCAGCATTTTTGACATGAGAGAGCTCACTGTCAGCTCCTTTTCCATTAGATGCCAGGCTCGACGTGAAAATAACCGATTATCTTAGTTACTAAGCTTGAAAAAACCCTTTCTTTCCTGTATAATTTTAGAGAATTAAATTTTAGCAGCAACATATTACATTGAATAAAATCCATCTTGTTATGAATGTTTAACTAAATAGAAATATGTATTATAAATCAGGACTTACTTTAACTAAAGAAGCCTTGGAACGGCCTTCCAGATACACTGACTCACGTTATAATCTCTGTAGCTACCGAGCCCTCAGGTGTCATCAGAAACCTTCAGAGGACCAACTGGGTGGACCTTGATGACTTTGTGAAAGCTTTTCAGTGAGACGCAATTACACATACAGATTTTATCCTGTTGTACAGATGGATCGTCATGCAGTTCTGAAAAAGATTTACACATGATCAGAAATGCTTAAAAATATTGTTTTATTTCTTCAGGACTCTGGTGGTGTTTCATAAACTACACACCTACACTCAACAGGTCCACAAATCCAGTTTTAAGGTACAGATTGTTTTTGGCAAATATATAAGTAGAACTGTGCATGTTCAAGTTTTAATTTGTTTCCAGCCCCATTATTTCTTGTGTTTGTGCTTTAATGTAATGTAGTTACACTAAATTAGTTGACTCTTGTCTGTAGAGCTCTGTCATGTCCAAAACCACAGAAGCAACAGGCCGCACTGAACCACTGACTGGAGAAAACCCTGAGGTCTGAATGCAAACACACAAAAACACACACTTGTTTTCACACTCTCGTCTTCTCTAAAATGTTACCTTTGACTAAATCCTCCTTTAATTTTTGTTCACTAAATTTACTTTCTCTGTATGCCAACTTTGAAATGTCAGATTTCTTTTTAGCATTAGCTTCTTTTTCAATTTGTAAAGCGGCACTAAGCAGTTTTTAACACTTTAACCAAATCCTTTAAAAGTGGGGTTTAGTGATTGTGTAGGTAGAAACTTTACCACATGGTGACCAGAAGCAGCACTTAACAGTTTTGTGGAGCAGGTAGGTACCCTAGGGGGCGCTCTTTTCCTACTTAATGGCTATTAGCTATTTTTCACTATTTTCTAATAATTTCCGATTTTTCTAATTTTCTGTGCCAGTAGCTAAAATTTAAGCTGGAAGTTAGCTTTTTCAGTTTGTTGACTGTCGATAAAAAAACAACACAAGAAGGGGGAAAAAAAAGTTTGTTTTTTTTGTTGATCCCGGAAGTAAAAGTCAGAGAATTATGTATTTGGAGGTGAAGGGAAGAGCTAAACCTCAGTGAAAAATGCCACAGCCTACACTCGTTTGAGGGAGCTAAAGGAGGCTATGAAATCACAGACTGATGGTGACCTGGCTTTGTTGCTACTGAACTTGTAAGTAATAATATTTTTGTCCAACAGTGTGGATCTATTTTGGTATTGGTTGGCTCATGTCCAGTGTTGGGAGTAATGCGGTACGAAAGTAATTAATTACTGTAATGCATTGCTTTTTGCTGTAGTGTGGTAACGTAAGGCATTACAGGGAAAGAAAATGGTAATAGTTACTCGGTACAATTGTCAGTAACGCTGTAATTACAATGCATTTTTAAACCCAGAATCAAGATGTGTTCCTTAAAAATTCAAATTGCGGGAAACCCGAAGAAAGATCCAGTATCTGCATATATGACGTCATTTATGGACTCAGCTTTGCGGGCAGAGAGGACGCCGTGGTAACGGCTCAACTACTCCAGCTGCGTCCTGCACGCGGCCGCTGCAACATTCACAAAATCGCTCCACTAAAACAAAATAAATAACTTGCGATTGTTCATATCAGCGCATATTCTTTGTGCTTTTCTGACGTGCTTTGCCTCAGCTGAGTTCATAATCTGTGCCCCGGTGATTTCAGCTCATTGCTGCTGGAGCGCCGCGCATGTGAAGATCCCTTTGGCTGATAGTTAGAAGTCTAGGAAACCATTTTTTCTGGAAGACGGAGAAAACATGCAGCATGCAGGAAGGTTAGAGAGAGAAAGGGCAGGAAATTATTCAAATAAAATCAAGAAAAAAAGAAAAAAGTTGGTAGATTTATCCCCAATACACATTTTTACCAGTGAAAAGCAATAATACAGAAGCATTTAATATTTATACATGTGACAGAATCAGATCATCCCAGAAGTCAGTCCCACATCCAGGGCCGTATCAAGGCATTTGGGGACCAAGGCAAATATAGGCGTGGAGCCCCCACCACCTCACTCGCTGCTCAGATGGCCCTATAAGATGGCAGCGTGCTGAGAGTACAGATTGTTGTTGCTTTTATTTAATAAACAATCATTTTAAAGCACAGTTATTACATTTGATAGTTTTTAACAGCAATCCTAGCTCAGACACCACATCACTTTCCACATTTATGTCATGAGCTCACTGAGCGTCACATTACCAGATTCATATTGAAGTTGTTTTGGTGAAAGTAACTTAAAGTAATGCAAAAGTAGTGTAATGCCTTACATTTTAAAATCAGTAATATTTTAATGTAATGAATTACTTTAAAATGAGGGTAACAAGTAATAAATAATGCATTACAGTTTTGAAGTAACTTGCCCAACACTGCTCATGTCAGTGTTAGCTTGTTGGCGCTAGCTACAGCAGGCTGCTGCAGGGTTGTCCATGACAGTTGTAATTCCACTTTCAACCAGTAGGAGTGAGGAGCTGGAAACAGTTTAGTGTTTTTTTAACTCTTCCATTCCCCACTCCAATGCTGCCCCTCTCAGTTGGTTTTTTCTGCCCTTGCTATTCTTTCATTCTGCGTCAATTTTTGAGCCAATGTCCAAGAACAATTTTAGTTTGTGTGTGTGTGTGTGTGTGTGTGTGTACCTGCAGAGTGCGATGGTGAAATGCTCCAGCTACCTGTGTGTGGACAGCCTGCAGCCTTCCCAGATCCTCATCAGTTTTTCTGCTCTTCTTAAATTGGGGGAAGCAGGTGAAGGAACAAGATTTATCTTTAGTGTATTGGAGCTAAGTGATTAGTGTAGCGGTTACTGTACGGTTACATCTGACTCTTGTTTTAGCCTGTTTTAGTTAGCAGGAGTGTGCTAGAGTGCTGGATTCCCCCGGTTTCAGACGCTTACCTGCTAGAAAACTGCAGATTTTATTCAAACGAGTGTTTAGCAGCTCCTGCAGAACCCAATGAAGGCCGAGGAGGTAAATTGAGTAGTTAGAATCAGGTGTGTCTGAGCAGGAACATAACAAGGACAATACTTGTCTGTTAGCTCTGAAAGGCTATTTGTGTGCACCTGCATGATATGAAGTGGGGATATCAGCTTCTTTGTGAAGGGGAGGGGGAGTGATGGCGTGAGCTACAGACACTCAGATTTCAGAATCACCTCCTCCTCTACTCGATGACATCATGCTATGCACCCCAGCTTTAACATACAAATATTTGGGAGTAGATATAAATACCCATGAATATGATTTTTTAATGAACATAATGTTGAACTATGCAACTAATACACTTTTTTCACTTCTTACACAAAAGAGAAAATGCCTGGAGTTTGTAGACCAACTGAACTATTGGTGCAGCCATTCTCCTGGACAAGTGTGTGCTCCCAGCTGCCGGTTGTCACCATCGAAACCACCAGTGTGAAGGCAGCTATTCTCAACATCCCTGTGGGGTAGGACAAAACACACACAGACAGACAGATACAAAACCACAAGCTTAGATCTAGTTTAATGGGATTATTGTTTGATGATGAGATTTTTCTTTCTGTTTGAACACCTTTCATTAATCCATCATACTGATTCATGTTTTATATTCCTTCATTTGCTGATTTTAACCTTTTGCATTTTATTTTTCATGTTCTGACCTTACAACACAAATTAATATATAAATATCTTCATGAAGATGAAGTGTTTTCTTTTTAAAATTTTTTTTTTAGATATTTGTGCACCACAGCTGCTCTGAAAAGCTTCAGAAAAAAGCACCTGCCCCAGTCTCTATTAACGGGAGTCACATGGCCTAGAAGCAGAGGGCCTAGTTTCTGGGGTCAGGTGGAGGTATGCAGCAGTGCAATTACCACTGAGCCATAATCACACCAATGGTACTTGGATAAAATGTCCCATGGCACCTCCTGAAGGAGAAACTAGCAGTTGCAGTCAAGCTTTTTGTCAGCATTTTGTATGAATGCTCATGTGTGTTTTGTTCTTCGTTTTCTACTTTTTTACACTATTGAGAAAGTTGTCCTTTTCTTTCCCCCCATTTTTCCTCCCTCTTTCCTCTCTTTCCCCTTTTTTCTCTCTGCTGTTCATCTCCAGCCCCTGCCATGCACCGCCTCAGTTCTCATCCATCTGGTTAGACTGTGATGGCTGAATTATGTAAATGTAATAGGCTGAGGTTGTGGGGCTCCTCTCCCAGACCTAATCAGCTCCCCTGAACTCAGCTTGGCTTCTGCTAGGCAGACAAACTCCACTAAGTCCAGTTAGGAACATCACAAAAATTCAGTAAATTCAGTGTAAAAATCACCTTTCTTCCCCATTCTGAAGCTTGGTTTGAATTGCAGCCAATTGTCTTGACCATGTCAACATGCCTAAATGCAGTGAGTTGCCACCATGCTGGTTAGTAATTTGTGTTAACGGGCAGATGGACAGTGGTACCCAATAAAGTGGCCGATGAGTGTATACATTCTTCATTTGATTATTATTGGTCACAAAACATTTGTTTTCCTTCTTACTGCTCAGATGTGTATACTATCTTATAGTACTATTGTGCAGTGAATCTGGATTACTTAGATGTACTGAGGAAAAAAACTATTTGTCTTTGTTCCTATCAGACGACATTTGTTCTGCTTCAATGTGTTTGCCCCGTTTGGCTACAATATCCATCTATGCAGCAAGACGTCATTCCTCTTAGCAGATGAAGACACCATCATCCTACTCTTCACTAAGGTGAGCAGACCACATGGTTATTAGCTGCTAATGTTGACTTCGCCAACGTGATTGGATTTATTCTACTACAGTTTGATTTCACTTCACTAGAAAAACAATAACAAACTTTTTTCCTTCTTTTAACAGACAAGTGATTGCTTCACTCAGCAGGCCTTAAGCATATTTATGGCTCTGTCCAGAGTGGTGGCTGCCTTTAGTAATGAGCTGGAGCTACCAGCTCTCAGAAAGGCCCTGGAAGAAACGTACTGTTCCCCCAGCGTAGGAGCAGAGGAACACAACAAGGTAGGGGGCTCATGATTACACACTCATCCAGCATGCATTGCCTCGCTGTCTTAAACAAACTGCACATTTCCATATCATCCGCTCTATTTGTGTGAAAAAGGCTAAAAATATAATTTTTTTCTTTTCTAAACTAGAAATTAATTGTGTAATTGTAGCCATGTCATCATCTTGTTGTTTGAGGTTGTCATATTGTTTTATTCTTGTCTTCTGCTGTAGACGAGTCACATTTATCATGCATTATGTATAAATGTATTTGTGTGTGTGTGTGTGTGTGTGTGTGTGTGTGTGTGTGTGTGTGTGTGTGTGTGTGTGTGTGTATGTGTGTGTGTGTGTGTGTGTGTGTGTGTGTGTTGGGGACAAGCTCTTTAACTCAGCAGTTTACCACATGATCAGTGAGGCTTTGGGCAGAAATCTGACGACAGAGGAGCACTTTGCTGCTCTGGCCCTTACTGCTGACCTTTCATCCCTGACATCACATGCTGAAGAGGTTCCACTTAGTCGTAACTCCTGTCTGTATGTTTTCTATTTCATTGTGTTATCTCAATCTATCCATCCATCATCCATCCATCCATTTTTGGCCACTTATCCAGGGTTGGATCTGGGGGGCATGAGCCTAAGCAGAGAGGCCCAGTATTCCCTCAGAAAACTCATTTTTGCCGCTTGTATCTGCCATCTCATTCTTTCTGTCACTACCCAGAACTCGTGACCATAGGTGAGGGTAGGAATGTAGACGACCGGTAAATCAAGCTTCACCTTCTGACTCAGTTCTCTTCACCACGACAGACCAGCACAATGCCCTTATCACCGCAGACGCAACACCAGTCCGCCTGTCAATTTCACGCTCCATCTTTATCTCACTCTTGAACAAGACCCTGTCATGTTGTGAGGGTGGAGATGGTGGACCAAGTGTGGTGGAGGGTTCCAGGAGGCAGAAGAGCAGGCACGGATGAAATAAAAATGGATTTAATAGTAACGGGAGTGACAGGGCAAAACGAGACATGCACATACAATGATCCGACAAAGGACAGGAGCAAAACAGGTGGTATAAATACACAAGGCTAATTAGGAAACATGGGCAGGTTAACGAGGGACAGGTGAGAACAACACGGACTAATCAGGGCAGGAGAGAGACAGTCAGGAGGGCAGGGGCAGATCGTGACAGACCCTGAGATACTTTAACTCCTCCTCTTGAGGCAGGACCTTGTCCCTGACCTGGAGAAGGCATTCTACACTTTTCCGACTCAAGACCGTGGTCTCGGATTTAGAAGAGCAGCTGGGATGAAAATCATGATGTTATCTGTGACAAAAAAAAAAGTGAATTTTGACAAGACGTGCACTTTCCATTTCCACTTAAAATGTTTTGATTTTCCTTATCCATGTATACAGTAGAGTTAGTATATGCATTAGGGTTAGCATTTGTGTTAGCATATACAGTAGGGTTAGGGGATATACAATTATTTCTACTAGTGGGTAGTAATCAATAAAATTAGTAGTAAAATAAGTATGATCCTTTGCACCAACTGTTGTTAATCACAATTTCATATGTTTTTTCACGGTTTTAAACCTACACCCACCACTGTCCTTTGTTCTGTCTTTGTGTTGTTGGAAGAAAATGAAGATTCAAACCGGTCAGGAACCAGGAGAGACAGCCAGCCCGTGAGCAGTGAAGACCAGGCTGCTGCCGGTCTACAGGCTGAGGCAAAAAGGCAGATCCTTAACGTCAAACAACCTGGTAAACATGTGCTTTTATATATATATTAGTATGCTGATAAAGTTTTAATTATTATTATAAGTATTTGATGTTATAACTTTTGATATAATTAATGAAGGTAGTCTCCTTTGACTAAATAAACCCTCAAATGCCCCTTTTCTGTTCCACTTTTAAAATACGTTTCACCTTCATGTTTTTAATGTCTGAAGGCGTACAACATCCACCAACAACTTTTTTTTTCTTCTTCCTGTATTCATTATTTAATTTAGATTATATATGTTGAGCATCCTTACAGAAGCATGTGAATTATCACTTTTGGTGAAACAGCTGGAAAAATAATCGCAGACAGGACACAGATAACACCTGTGGACGTGACATTTCTGCATCTTTGACACAAACATTCATTAGAAAGAGAAAAAAATGGGAGTGAAGGCACAGAAGGTGAAGAGTTCTTTCTTTTCAGCAAAGCTTTATTAAAAAAATGCATGGGAGTCATTGTCTGTGCTGCAGTTGGTTCAGGAGGATACTCTGGATGTAACTATTCTTTCCGTCTCTAATGCTTGAGGCTAACAAGAGAAACTCCCGGCACGGCACAATATGGAACAATGTCAAAACACAACAGCTGTTTTGCTTAAATGTTGACTATTTTTCAGCATGATTTGAGACGTTCAGAAACTTGGTATCATTACAGAATCCGTCTACTTTGCATACTGCAAGTGGTTGTTTACCATAAGCATAAGGAAAAATAAAGTCGGAAGTTCCTGACCTACATGTAAAACTGGTCCGTCATAATTAATTTACATGACTTACAGATAAGCAAGACTTTGTCCCCCAAAGGGACAGTTGTACAAACAACTCCATTGAATACAGTCCTCTACTCTTCATATACAATATATTTTCTTTTGGTTCGCAACAACACAGACTGATTTTATTTTCTTTTTTGATGGTAGCTGCTATTCTCTGTCTGCATGTTGTCCAGGAACACTGGAGAATCTACGAGCATCCAAGATCCTTTCAGACATTTGGCTAAACATCCAATCAGATGCAGAAAAGCATGCCGTCTCCTTGCTACGGTAAACAAAGAATACTGTTATGTAAGCTGCATTTAGGCTCAGCATTTCACATTGCAAGTATTATGAAACACAAATGTTATTATTTTATGAGAATGTAGGAGTAGTAGTTCTATTACTGTCCAGTGCCAGTGCTGCGGTCATTGCATGTTGTGCTCTTAGCTTCTCTGATGTACTGCATGCTTGCTCTCCTGATTGTGGCAGCCTGTGGGGTCCATGCAGGAGGCATTTTCCACATTGTGTTCCATCTTTTCCCAGTGGTACCATCTGCTGTTTATACTCTCCCTGTTCCAAACAGCTAGCAGCGTCTGCCGAACGACCTGCTGCCCGGGGAAGTGTGTGTGTGTGTGTGTGTGTGTGTGTGTGTGTGTGTGTGTGTGTGTGTGTGTGTGTGTGTGTGTGTGTGTGTGTGTGTGTGTGTGTGTGTGTGTGTGTGTGAAAAACGTTATGTTATAGGTGTTGCAGACCTTTAAGTGTGTACATGTCTGAATTGACAGAAACATCTAATGTCATTCACTTTCAGCTGTATTATAAAGAGGTTTATATAAGTTTTACTTGGTTTGAAGTGAAAGTTTCTGAAGATCCTCTTATCTTGTGTGCTTTCTTCATAGCTGCTTCGTTAACATGGCTGCGAATAAAGTAGAACTCCGCCCTGGTCTGAAGGAAGCATCCACCAGGATCGCCTTTGCCGATTATGCTCTTTCTCCCCAACAAACAGCCAGCTCTTGGCTTTTGGTCTTCAGGTAAGAGAATACATGTTTGGCTTGTTGAGTTTTGCCAACCACATGCTTATTTTTTATTGATTTGTTGTGAATGTTTCCACGGACAGGTGTTCCTTTTTCCTAAAGAGATGTTGCTGACTACCAGGTTGTTCTGCCCATTCCGCCGTTGCCTGCTGCATGTCGTAAACAACGACACAGGAGAGGAGCTGGAGAAGCACAGAGGGTCATCCTTTGTCTTTGAACCCAACCAGGTCTAACATGAACTGTATTTCACTGATAGATGTTGTCTTTTCATTTCAAAAAATCAATTCCAATCCTAAAAAAATTCTAAGGTGAATGTGAATTTAGGGAAAATAGATGTTTGTCTCCATGGTTAAACCGATGTTTTCATTTCAGGGTGGTTATACCTTTGTGGCAGAGGCTGTTGTCAATCGTGAAATAGATTGGGATAGTGCCGAGTGGAGAATACAAATGATTGGCTCGCACGAATCGCTTCCAAAACTGTCCCGTGAAACTCCGGTTGATGCATTCTTTGTGAAGGAAGTTCGGGGGTATTACATTCCCGATGCTAATGATGTCACATGCCGGTAAAAAAAATTGTTATTTAAAAATAACGTTCACATTGTCAGTAGAATGATGCAAAACTAAATGTACTCATAACTATTTAAAACTGTTTCACAGATGCATTGTTCGAGTAGCTGCAGATACCGTGGGAACAGTTCAGTGTGAAACCTCCAATCGAAGTGTGACGGTACGTCTCTCAGTTCTGGATGAGGATAAAGAGGTGGTTGGAAAGACTGGGAAGGCCTCAGTGCTACTTCCTGTGGTTAACCTTTTCGCTAATAAAGGTTTGCACATTTATTCACACTAACATGGTTCAATTTTTGCAAATGCAGGGGTGTGTCCAGAGGGGGGCTACAAAAAGACTGGCCACACCAGTTGCCACCCCAATACTGAGACAGCAATACAACTATAGCATATAAACAATAAAACATCAAATGTAAGAGCACATTTTCCCCATGATGCTCAAAAGTCTGATTGTACAAGCAGACACTCCGCTCTGTAAACACGAGTTATAGATCACTGAAGAATTGTTTTCCCATACAGATTTTTTTTCTGTTTTTGCATTTTGATTTAGTGATTGTTCAGAGATTCAGAACAGCAAATAATCATTGTGAAATGTCAATCAATAGTTTTGTTGTCAATTAGATTTCCAATTATGTCACACAGCTACTTGTCATAAAAAAGGGCTAAGAAACCAAATCATAAAACAGCAGCAATGCAAAAATATAGCACTAAAGGAATGGATATATACACAGAGTGGAGTAACATAACCAAAGCAGTGCAATATGAACTTATTTCTAAATATATTTACTAATGCGTTGGTATAGGGGTAGTTTTTCACTCAGGCAGGGTTGGTTTGACTAGCCCATCACCCAATATGAATGAAACCATCATTTGAAAACTGCACGCTGCATTTACTCATCTTACATATCTTTGATATTCAAATGTGTCTGCTACTGTGAAATGTTGAAATGTGACAGTACTTAAAAAAGGGGACACATTTTTTGGACAGCACTATGTTTATGTGCCAGTAGCACAACGATCATTGGTTTTATGTGTCAGAATTTCAGATACATTAAACATACCTTAACTTGAGAATATGTTGGAATGTATGTTTTTTTATTACCTCTGTGCATCCCTTTAAAAAGTACAAATCTAATCAGGAGCTCAGTGAGCAAAAGAACAAAATAATTTTCACAACACTTGTTTAACTCATAACATGAAATTAAGGTTAATAATATAACTTAGATCACAACATCTTCAGTCTTACTAAAATTGGTTGAAGCAAAAATGAGTACACCCCACAACAAAAACTACTACATCTAGTATTTTGTATGACCACTGTGATTTTTCAAGGACAGCACCAAGTCTTCTAGGCGTGGAATGAAGAAGTTGGTGATGTATTGCTACATCCATCTTTTTCCATTGTTCAAGAATAACCTCTTTAAGAGCCTGGATGCTGGATGGAGAGTTATGCTCAACCTGCCGCTTCATATTTCCCCACAGGTGTTCAGTTAGGTTCAGATCAGGAGACATACTTCTCGTCACGTCTTCTTCCGCCTATCCGGGTCCGGGTCACGGGTGCTGCATCCCAACTAGGGAGTTCCAGACAAGCCTCTCCCCGGCCACTTCCACCACCTCCTCCGGTAGGAGCCCAAGGCATTCCTGGGCCAGATTGGAGATGTACTTTCTCCGTGTCCTGGGTTGAACAGGGGGCGTCCTGCTGGCAGGAAATGCCTGAAACACCACCATGGGGAGGTGTCCAAAACACCTCAACTGACTCCTCTTGATATGGAGGAGCAGCAGCTCTACTCCGAGTCTCTCCTGAATGTCCGAGCTCCTCACCCTATCCCTAAGGCTGAGCCCAGACACCCTGCAGAGAAAACAAATTTTGGCCGTTGTATCCGCGATCTTGTTCTTTTGGTCATTACCCAAAGCTCAAATCCTCATACTTGAATTCCTTCACTTCCTCCACTTGAGGCAGGACCTCTCTCCCGCCTCGGAGTTGGCAAGCTGCCCTTTTCCGGTCGAGACAAACTTGGCCATTCAATCACCTTCACCCTGTTCTTCTTCAGAAATGCAACAGCAGCTTTAGATGTGTTTTCGATCCTTGTCGTGTTGGAAAAGTGCACAACGACCAAGTGCACGGAGTGATGGCAGCATCTTCTCCTTCAGTATAGAGCAGTATATTGTCGAGTTAATGATGCCATCAATGAAATGCAGCTCCCCAACACCGGCAGCACTCATGCAGCCCCACATAAGGACACTGCCACCACCATGCTTCATTGTAGGAACCATGCTTTTCTCTTTGAAATCCTCATCTTTATGATGCCATACAGTTTTGAAACCATTAGTTCCAAAAACAGTGATCCTTGTCTCATCACTCCAGAGTATAGAGCTCCGGGAGTTGACGTCACGTTTCCCGGCATGCAACAGTTCAAATCGAAACGGCGCCATTAGGCAGGCAGAAGCTGGCAGCTGGACTATTTGTTATTGTCAGAAAACTCAATCAAACGGGAAATATGGTAGATTCCTGTTGTGCCCCAGGATGCAGAACAGACGCGGACGACATAAGGAATGAGCCATCTACAGGATTCCCCAAGATCCGGAGCGCCGCAAACGTTGGATCATTGTAATAAAACGCGCTAGTGACCGGGCTGAAATGAAGCTGTGGGATCCTGAGAGTAAAGGTTTTTGCTTATGCAGCGACCACTTCATATCAGGTACTTAAATCAACGTTTCCTCAACTGTGTATGGTATTTATTTTAAATGCTTTTATTACGATTCTTAGTGGGCTTCCTAAACTTATTTTGGCGTGGCTTTTTCTGTCTTATTACTCATAGCAACAAGTAAACGTCACGTAAAACTTTGCCTCGTGAGTTCTGCGTGCTGCCGTTTCCGTGTTTTATGATCACAGCAATTAACCGGCTAAGCTGTATTTAATTTTTAAGCAACGGTTGATCAATTGTCAGATCACACATAAAAAGCACTTTGGATTGGTATTATCTGTCTCACCGAGTCAGATCTCAGACAGATCCTGAGACGCTCCTGCCTGACATATTTATTTTATTCACGAAAAAAATCAAACTAGTGTTTTCTCTTGGCGTTCAGTTTATACATTCAAACAGCACAGCACTCTATTTAAACTACTTACATGTAAATCTATGTTATTTGTCCGTCCATCCATCCATTTTCATCCTCTTACCTGGAGTCGGGTTGCGGGGGCCGTAGCGTCCAGCTCCTCCGGCCTGGGGAATCCCAAGGGGTTCCCCGGCCAGGTCCGGTGTAGTCCGCTCCGACAGCTTCTGGCGTTTTTAAAAAGTATCCCAGGGGCACGGTAAGGGTCGGAGATGTTTAGTCTATTTAATTTCTGACTATATAAAACGATTTCTTCGGTTTTAAAGTGTGAAGTAAACTCCAACGAAGTAAAATCCAAGCGGATCCCGTTCACGTTCATGGTTACATCTGTGTTTGTTTACCTTTTTTTCCTGCCAAAATGGCGTCTACTAACTGAGAGTCACGTGGGGTCTGGAGCTCTATAGAGTCCCAGTAGTCTTCCTCTCTTTCAGCATGGGCCCTAGAAAATCCTAGGCATGCGTTTTTGTGCATGGGCTTTAGGAGAGGCTTCCTTCAAGGACGGTACCCATGCATGCCATTCCTCGGCAGTGTGCGCTGTGTGGTATCGCAGGAATCTGTCACTCCTGTTTGGCTTTCTACTGCTTTAGCTAACTGCGGTGAACTTGCATGGTGATTTTCTTCAGCCCTTCTCATCAGAAGACGCTCCTGTCGAGATGTTAACTTCCTTGGATGACCTGGACGTCACTGTAAGATGGTTGCACTTCCATCTTTCCTAAATGTTTGGATGACTTTTGCTACAGTAATTTGACTGATATGGAAAGCTTTGCTGATCCTCTTGTAGCCCTCACCTTTTTTGTGTAAAGAAATGACTTCCTTTCTCAGATTTTGTGACATTTCTCTTCCATGTGGAGCAATTGCTGACAGCATGAAATGAGAAGGGCTTTTCTTTAAATAATGCCCTTTTATAGTCACCTGTCTGCTGGACACCTCTTAAATGAATCATTAGACTCACCTGTGGTTGAATGCCTGTTAAGTTGAATTGTGTAGTCAGTGTAACTTTTCTTCTAAGACTGTAATTGGGGTGTACCGGTACTCATTTTTGAAACATGGGCTTTAATGGATTTGTTAGGAAAATCACTTTTTGTGTGAAAATTAACTAATCTTGTTTGCAATCAATGGCCCACATTTGTGGGAGTATTGTGCACCATGGTATCTCATAGAACATGTTGATTCCGTAAGGACACTTAAGGTTTTCTGACAAATGTAGCGGGGTGTACTCATTTCTGCTGAGCAATATGTGTGAATGACACAATCTCCTATTATCAGAAAAAGGTACTTTATATTGTTTGAAAACCTTGCAATTCAAACCATGTCAGAGTAATTAGACTCCAGCAACACAGAGCAATATTTTATTGTTTTGTACAAAAAGTGCTTATACATTATGGCTGTAGTTCTCTGGCTAATGACATCCAGCACACCACTAATGATTTCTACCTGGTATGGAGACGGCGTGCTTTTCAAATGTGTGCAAGAAAATTTTGAGTTACTGGACTGCATTTATTTATTTTTTATCAGGTAAATGTCAACTTGTTTTCTGTTACAGACACCAGTCACGTGGATGAAAACAACCACACTGTAAGTGAACTCTGCTTTATTTTTCTTTCTCTACCAGATTACACAGTAGTCGTAAGTTTGTATAAATTTGCATTCACCCACACACACACACACACATTCACACAGACAAAATCTGACAAAAAGAAGAAAAGCAGATTTTGGAGGAGGTCTATTGTTGTTATGCTCTGGCTTACTGCTGTTTTTCATGGACAGATATAGATTTAAACACACGTTAACAAACCAGTGCCGCATGAACCGCTCTTAAAGAGCTGATTTACTGGGAAACTGTTATCACTTGTTGTTTTTGAAATAGGATCAGGCTAAACGTGAAAATAGTCTTCTACCCCTATTTCCAGCATTAGCTGACAATAGAAAATTAATGGTGAAATGCTTGGATAAGAAAAGGCAGTCAGACCTACATTCCACTGTAAGTTTGCATTCATGGACCTGCCCATCTTGGCTCATGAAGGAAGGGAAGGCTGTTGTTGAATTAGTGCTCAGGAGAGAACAGACACATCTTGGCTAGAAGAAACTAACCATTAGCATTAGCGACACCATACATGGCAGAACTTCTTCAGGCTTTTGTTATTTGTGGACATAGAACATCAACGTTGCAGAGCAAACAGTCAGTGGTAGAGTCGTGTTGATGTTAGCCAATCAGAGGAGAGATGTCCAAATATCAGGAAATAAGACTCCAAATCCGGCTGTCTTCTAATTCCATTTTTGGTTCTTTTTTAAAAACACAGATAAGGTTTTTCTTTACCTTGCTGACGGTTTCGTTTGCGGCTGCAAACATCTTCAGAGCTGACGATGATGGTGGCGTTACTTCCTACTCCGGGCAGCAGAGGACGTTGTCTTTAATCAATTTCCCTCTGGGATTAATAAAGTATTTTTGAATTGAATTGAATTGAAAACCATGTAATGGACTGGGACAGCACAAGGATCATAAACACAGAACAACAGAAATACAAAAGATGGATAAAAGAAGCTATAGAGATAAGGAGACGTGGGCGTGGGACCATAAACAGAGACAATGGAGATTACACGTTGGACCGTGCATGGGACTGCATGATTGGAGAGGGGAGAGCGGGCAGCAGAGGGCGACAACATCCTCTGCTGCCCGCGGATAAACGGAGTAGGAAGTGATGCCACCATCAGCGTCAGCTCTGAGGATGTTTGCAGCCGCAAACGAAACCGTCAGCAAGGTAAAGAAAACCTTATCTGTGTTTAAAAAAGAACCAAAATGGAATTAGAAGACAAACACAGCAATAATGTACAAAAGATCTTTAAAAAAAACTGCTGTCTTCTGCTCCCCTCTGCTTTGGCTAACTACTTCCTGAAACAGGAGCACCAGAGCTTTTTTCACAAGGTATTACTTTATATTAGAGACCAATGCAAAAGTATTGAGACAATACATGAACTTGGTTGAGTCAAATGTATGGCTGTGCAAAGAATCACATTTGTGCTTCAAAAGGATGTCAATAAATCATTTGCCCATCCACCCGTTCACAATGTTGAATCACTTTTCTCTCACAACGAAGCTAATTATAAACATCTGCTTAATTCTTTACTTGGGCCAAGTTACAGGCATAGAAAAATCGGCAACTGCTTAAATAAAGTCGTGTTTGAATAGCATTTCATTTTATTATGATTTTGTTTCTCTCTGCTTGTTTTTTGTTTTGAACAAATTCTTTTAAAGGGACTTTACGGAGTTTTGAATTTTTATGCTCGCGATTGCCCCCTCAGGCCAAAAGCGTAACGGCAGCTTCAATAGTAGGCTCGTGCACGAGGCGCGCATGCTGTACGTGCACACTCCTTAACAAAAATAACAGCTGAGACAGTCCCTTGTGTGTGTGTGTGTGTGTGTGTGTGTGTGTGTGTGTGTGTGTGTGTGTGTGTGTGTGTGTGTGTGTGTGTGTGTGTGTGTGTGTACCGGAGGACAGAGGACAGGAGAACACACAGCTAATTAATTAAATAGTGTGGTTCTGTACCTTTCTCTTCAGCACAGCTGACAAAGGTTTATGATGGGTCAGTCCTCCTGCATGCTCAGATCATTCCCTTCCCTTGCTTGAAAAATTGTTCCAAAATGAAAGTTGAACCCACATCTTATCTGTGAATTCAATGCCGTTCGGCGAGTCTCAAATAAAAATTTGGGCATCTTACTGTAAAAAAATATACCATTCATGTAAAAAATAAACTCTAAAAAAACTATGTTCACACCCAGAATCGAACACAGGTCTTCTGTATGAATGCCCGAGGGTTTACTAGGCGAGCTAAAGCACCAGTGACATCCTTCGTTTCTGTAACATTTATATCCTTGATGACAGCTGAAACAAAGTTCAAAGAATGGTTCGGAGCGAAAATGGCTATTTTGTTGCTAATTTGCAGGAAATATCTAGAAGAAAGTTCTACAGAAAGTAGCTAAGGGTCCTCAGAAATGTAGCTAGCTTTGTCACTAGGCGTTAGGAACAGCGACAAAGTGGCACTGCCTCTCTCTCTGCTGCTAAAGCTACGGATAGCAAATGTTAACGGCTATGCCTGAGCGTGAACGCGCATGAAGCAGCCTGCTCGACCCGAGTATCTCTCTTTTTCTATGATTTTACAGAAAAACAGGCAATCACAGTAAAAATGCCAAGGCTCATTCTACAGGACCAGGGCATTGCAGGAGAATGTATGAAGAAGACATTTATTATTTCTATACATGTTTTGGCTGTCAAACTTCCATAATGCCCCTTTAAACTCAGTTCGTTTCAATGTCACGTATGTAGGAGTTTCCCCCATGATATAATCCCGACTAACAAGCTCTTTCCCTCCTTTTTCCTTATTTTGCTTCCGTAAAAGAGAAAAGAACGTGGGTTTTTTCTCCTAATCTTCATCCTTTTGAATCATCAGTACAAATTACATTTATATGTTCACAAACACCTAAAATTAGTGCTGGTTTTCAAGTATTTATTGACATCTGTTTATAATTTGATTGCCTCTTTTGTGCTTCTCAGGTTCATGAGTACAAGGTGCAGATAGAAGTACTCAGTAAGAGCTGGGATCTGGACGAGTCACAGTTGGCTTTTGCTCAACAGAGGAAGAAGAAATGATAGGTGAATACATGATGAGCTTCTTATCTGTATTACGTTTGTTTCGGATAGACAGATAAAGATATAAAGATAATTTTTTTCTGTTTTATTCTTCAGAGGATGGTTAGTAGTTAAACCTTCTACTATGTGCAGGTGTTTGAACTTTTCCAGTGATGCTTTAGTCTTCTTGTATTTGAGGAGCAGTCAGGGGGCGGGGCCTACACAGTTCATTGTCTGTTTCTGATCGCCAGAGGCCTGTAATCACAAGACAAATGAACACAGCTGCTTTTACAGAACACAGTGTGATTTTTTTGTGTGTCCATTAATCACCGGCTGTGGCTGTAATCCTGTCCTCTGCCACCATCTCTACATTTCCAGCTTTAATCATGCTGCACAAATTAGATCAATTAGAAAAACGCAGCTTTAAAACATTTTATACGGAAGCCTCTTATCTATGAAGAGGGGTGTGAATTTTATCGCTGCGTGCATGTCGCGGATGATGTTTTGATGTGAAAGAGACGCTGCGTGCAGACGGTTTGCATGATTGCCTGGAGAGGAAGGCTAGTCTGCTGACACTGGGTTCTCACGCGCTTTTGTTCCTGCGGACAATCATGCTAGGATTTATACATTCAGTTTGCATGCCATGAAATCTACTGATGATTAGCATTAGTGTCACATGGAAGATGGATCCTGAGGATTTGGTGCTGCCCTAGAAATATCGGTCTTAATTTTTCAACATGACATTCCATGAGTGTGTGTGTGTGTGTGAGACAATGTTGAGGTTTTTACTTGTATACTGTTGCTAATCTCTGTTTGTAAGGGTTTCACTCTTTAGGTTATACTCATAACCTCCTTTGTAATCTCAATAATTTTATAAAAATGGGTCGATGGGATGTCAAAAGAAGTTGGCTCTTGCCACCTGGTGCCCAGGGAAATATCTCAGCAGAACAGTGAATTAGTTTCACCCAGTTTAAAGCTCTCAGTGGTAAGACTGTGGCCTTGATCATGCTCCCCTACATGCTACACAGTTTTACATGCGGTGCCAAGCTTTGAAGCATACTTTACAAACTGTTTAGCAAGCTGCAAACAAATTGCTGTGTTTTGCATGTGGATGAACATTTGTTCATCCATCCATTTTCAGCTGCTTATCCGGAGCCCAGTCGCGGGGCCAGCAGCCTAAGCCAAGAGGCCCAGACTTCCCTCTCCCCAGTTACTTGGGCCAGCTCCTCCGGGGGAATCCCAAGGCGTTCCCTTGTGTAGTGGAGTAATTAATATATGTATTTGGGTGCTTTTAAAGCTTAATATATTACCTTTACTTATGACTAATAAGCTGTGATATTCTATATAAATGTAGGATATCAACCTTATTAGTCTTTGGATGTTTAATCAGAAGATTCTAGGATTCTTTGCTTTTTCAGAGATCAAACACACTTCGTCTCAATTCAGACAGTCAGGTTCATAAAAGATAAGAAATTTATTTTCTAAACAAATAAAAACATGACAAGTTAACCAAGGCTAATGTGATGGATGATAAGTGGATGTGATGTGATGTGTGGTGATTTAATGGTGTGTGTTTATCAGAACCTTGTATCTAGAAGAACTGAGTTCTGGGTGTGAAAAGGAATTTGGTTTGCATTAAACTATGAAGTTGGTTCTTATCAAAACGTCATCAGACGCAATCTGGCTGTGTTCTACGTACACCTGAGGAGACCCTTTCGGATCCGAGATGTCGGGGGGGGGGGGGGGTTCGGGTGACCCCAAGGTACCGAGGTTCGTAGAAAAGACTGCAGTACAACCAGGTCGGTCCAGAGTCGTCTCTCGGATCACAACAGATAGATGAAATCGTTTGCGTCTAGAACAGCTGTTTCTGAATAGCTGAAGGAACCGTTTTTCTGTGTCAGCTGTAGGCAGCTTTTAGCAGGGTTTTTTGACAGCTTGTCAAAAATGCTCTGGGTTAAAGAGGGTTGGCACCGGATAGCCTGTCCATGGCTTTCTCTAGAACTCACAAGAACTAGAACTAGAACTGGAACTGACTCACGGTGAGTGAGCTCTGTTTTTGTGATAGTCATATCATAAGCAAAATTTTAGAAAAGCTTGTTTCAATCAAACTCAATGATTTTATCAACACCTGGTTTTAGGGTGAACCACAGCACTGAGACGGCCCTTCTGAAGATTTTAAATGATTTTAGAGTAAATTATGACAAACGGAAGGTGACTGTGTTGGTTCTACTGGATCTAAGTGCTGCCTTTGGTACAGTAGACCTCACTATTCTTTTAACTCGTTTAAAACAGATCGGCCTCTCTGGTGCTGTTCACTAGTGGTTCACATCCTACCTCACAGACAGGACTTTCATGGAGAGTTTGGATACCTGTTCCTCTAGGGTTAATGGGATTACATGTGGTGTGCCCCAGGGTTCAATTTTAGGCCCAATCCTTTTTAACCTTTATATGCTCCCTCTTGGCAGTGTCATCAGGAGACACGAGGTGAATTTCCACAGTTACGCTGATGATACACAGCTGTACATCTCTGTGTCTCCTGATGACACACGGCCAATGGATACACTTTTAAATTGCATTTTAGACATCAAATCCTGGATGGCAGAAAACTTTCTCCAGCTCGACCAGGACAAAACTGGAGTTTTAGTTTTTGGTCCTGAGGCCCAGAGAGAGAAGCTTTTACCAAAATGACGATCACTGTCTCTTAATCCATCTTCACAAGTGAAGAATCTGGGTGTCATCTTTGACTCTGAGCTGACTTTTATCCATCATATTAAAAATATCACCAAAATAGGTTTTTATCATCTAAAGAACATCACCAGAGTCCGCCCCATTCTCTCTTGGGCCAATACGGAGACGCTGATGCGTGCTTTTATCACCAGTAGAATAGACTGCTGCAATGCCCTGCTTTCTGCTCTTCCTAAAAAGAGGATTTCAGGTTTACAACTATTACAAAACTCAGCAGCACGTGTCCTGACGAAGACCAGGAGGCGGGAGCACATTACTCCAGTTTTAGAATCACTGCATTGACTCCCCGTATGTTTCAGGATCGATTTCAAAATACTTTTAACGGTTTTTAAGTGTCTTAATGGTCTTGGGCCTTCTTATCTTTCAGAACTGCTTTTACTGTATGAACCCACGCAGTCTCTGCGCTCCTCTGGCAGCCGTAAAGTTAGGACGCATATTCACGGCAAGGCGTCTTTCCAGTACTACGGTCCTCGCCTCTGGAACAAGCTGCCAGGGGACCTCAGGACTGCTGAGAATGTTCATGTTTTTAGAAACAGGCTCAAGACCCGTCTTTTTAGCTTAGCTTTTAACTGAATACTCTCACTTTTTAAATTAATTAATTACTTCGTTTATTTATTTGATCTATTTATTTTATTTATTTAATGTATTCTTTCTTTATACGTGCTTTTTAAACAGTTTTTTACCTTGATTTATGATCAACATTATTTTAATATCTATATAACTTTTTATATTACAATTCTCATTTTAGCTCTTTGGATTTTATATTTTAACCTTAATTTAACCTTTTTCCAGTGCTTCCTCTGTGGGAGCCCTCTGCCCCGGCGGTGGTGGTCGCAGAGGCGGTTTTACCATTAGGCATAGGTCGGCTGCCGCCTGGGGCCCCCTTGTGTTGGGGGCCCCTAGCCCTGACCGCCGGCACCCCTCTGTTAATGCCACCATATTCTTATTACCAAACTAATTCCTGAACCGTTCAAGATATCATTAAAATTCCAAAAGAGCTGAAAAGATAAAAAAATGGGGCTTTTCGTGCATATACAACACATTACGGTAGCCACCAGGATTCCCTGTCTTGAGCGCAACGAATCACAAGACAGATTCAGAGACATGCTGAGTTTGTCATCCAAAATTCTCCGTTTTATAACTTTTGAATGGCTGATCAGATTCGAATAATTCCAACGGTTCCTAAAAGTACGTAAAAGCAGCTTTCCAACGATCTATAGCATGAAGCAATCAGAGTTATGGAAAATATCGCTACGAGGGGAAATCCTGCTGTACAGCCTGATTGAAACGGAGCGCAGCGCCGCAGTGAAAGCGGATAACGGAACGGGGAAGCTAATTAGCATAAAAAACCAGCATGAAATTATGGAAATGCCTCAAAGAAAATCAACACGATCTATTAGGTGTCCCAGAAGGCTTGTATCTGAAGACAGTGACCACGAAGAAGGACAGATCTCCGGTGAACCAGGATATGAATGTTTGTTCAGTCTTTATTTTTTATTTTTTTATTTGAACAACCCTCAACTATTTGCTAATCGTAAGATTCAGCTTCATTCCAGCATTATTTATCTTTTTACAATAAATAGAGAGGCTTCCATGAGGCATCCTGACCAGATGCCCAAGCCACTTCAACTGGCTCCTTTCGACATGGAGGAGCAGCAGGTCTACCCTGAGCCCCTCCCGGATGACCGAGCTTCTCACCCTATCTGTGAGGTTGAGCTCAGCCACCTTGCGGAGAAAACATATTTTGTGTATGTGTGATCTCGTTCTTTCAGTCACTACCCAAAGCTCATAACCATAGGTGAGGGTAGGAATGTAGATCCACTGGTAAATCAAGAACTTTGCCTTCCGGCTCAGCTTTCTCCTTACCACAACAGACCGGTACAACGCTCGCACCACAGCAGACACAGCACCAATCTGCCCCGGGTGGATCTCATCCATCCCCGGGGCCTTTCCACCAAGGAGTTTTTTGACCACATCAGTGACCTCGGCCCCAGAAATTGGAGAGTCCGACCTGAATTCCCCAGACTTCGCTTCCTCACTGGAAGACGTGCCGGTGAAATTGAGGAGGTCTTCAAAGTTTTCCGCCCACTGATCCGCAACGTCTCGAGCAGAGGTCAGCAGCATACTGTCACCACTGTAAACTGTGTTGGTAATGTACTACTTTGCCCTCCTGAGACGCCGGGTGATGGACCAGAATCCCCTTGAGGCCTTACGGAAGTCTTGCTCCATGGTTTTACTGAACTCCCACGCCCAGGATTTCGCCTCTGCGACCAACCGAGCCGCATTTTGCTTGGACTGACAGTACCCATCAGCTGCCTCTGGGGTCCCACAGGTCAAAAAGACCTGATATGAATCTTTCTTCAGCTTGACAGCTTCCCTCACCACCGATGTCCATCAGCGAGTTCATGGTGTCACCACGACAGGCACCAAGAACCCTGTGGCTGCAGCTCCGATCAGCTGCCTCGACAATGGAAGTACAGAACATGGCCCACTCGGACTCAATGTCCCCTGCTTCCCTCAGGACGTGTTTGAAATTCAATCGAAGGTGGGAAATGAAGCTCCTTCTGACAGGAGATTCTGCCAAACATTCCCAGCAGACCCTCACAATACGTTTAGGCCTGCCAGGTCTGACTGGCTTCCTTCCGCACTATTGAAGCCAACTTACCACCAGGTAGTTGTCAGTTTACAGCTCCGCCCCTCTCCACTTGAGTGTCTCAGACATGCACCCGCAGATCAGATGAAACGACAACAAAGTAGATCATCGAACTGCAGCTGCCACCTTACCCAGGGGTTTGAGTGTCCCAATGATCCTAGGTTGTCTTAGGCTTTATGCCTCTGGTAGGGTCACCTATGGCAAACAGGTATTATAGATACAGTGGGGCAAAAAAGTATTTAGTCAGCCACCGATTGTGCAAGTTCTCCCACTTAAAATGATGACAGAGGTCAGTAATTAACATCATAGGTACAGTTCAACTGTGAAAGACAGAATGTGAAAAAAAAATCCATGAATTCACATGGCAGGATTTTTAAAGAATTTTTTTGTAAATCAGGGTGGAAAATAAGTATTTGGTCAATAAAAACAATTCAACTCAATACTTTGTAACATAACCTTTGTTGGCAATAACAGAGGTCAAACTATTACTATAGGTCTTTACCAGGTTTGCACACACAGTAGCTGGTATTTTGGCCCATTCCTCCATGCAGATCTTCTCGAGAGCAGTGATGTTTTGGGGCTGTCGCCGAGCAACACAGACTTTCAACTCCCTCCACAGATTTTCTATGGGGTTGAGGTCTGGAGACTGGCTAGGTCACTCCAGGACTTTCAAATGCTTCTTACGGAGCCACTCCTTTGTTGCCCGGGCGGTGTGTTTGGGATCATTGTCGTGTTGGAAGACTCAGCCACTTCTCATCTTCAAAGCTCTCACTAATGGAAGGAGGTTTTGGCTCAGAATCTCACGATACATGGCCCCATTCATTCTGTCCTTAACACGGATCAGTCGTCCTGTCCCCTTAGCAGAAAAACAGCCCCAAAGCACGATGTTCCCACCCCCATGCTTCACAGTAGGTATGGTGTTCTTGGGATGCAACTCAGTATTCTTCTTCCTCCAAACACGACGAGTTGAGTTTATACCAAAAAGTTCTACTTTGGTTTCATCTGACCACATGACATTCTCCCAATCCTCTGCTGTATCATCCATGTGCTCTCTGGCAAACTTCAGACGGGCCTGGACATGCACTGGCTTTAGCAGCGGAACACGTCTGGCACTGCAGGATTTGATTCCCTGCCGTTGTAGTGTTACTGATGGTGACCTTTGTTACTGTGGTCCCAGCTCTCTGCAGGTCATTCACCAGGTCCCCCCGTGTGGTTCTGGGATTCTTGCTCACTGTTCTCATGATCATTTTGACCCCACGGGATGAGATCTTGCGTGGAGCCCCAGATCGCAGGAGATTTTCAGTGGTCTTGTATGTCTTCCATTTTCTGATAATTGCTCCCACAGTTGATTTTTTCACACCAAGCTGCTTGCCTATTGTAGATTCACTCTTCCCAGTCTGGTGCAGGTATTCAATTCTTTTTCTGGTGTCCTTCGAAAGCTCTTTGGTCTTGGCCATAGTGGAGTTTGGAGTCTGACTGTTTGAGGCTGTGGACAGGTGTCTTTTATACAGATAATGAGTTCAAACAGGTGCCATTAATACAGGTAACGAGTGGAGGACAGAAAAGCTTCTTAAAGAAGACGTTACAGGTCTGTGAGAGCCAGAGATTTTCCTTGTTTGAAGTGACCAAATACTTATTTTCCACCCTGATTTACAAATAAATTCTTTAAAAATCCTGCCATGTGAATTCATGGATTTTTTTTCACATTCTGTCTCTCACAGTTGAAGTGTACCTTTGATGTAAATTACTGACCTCTGTCATCATTTTAAGTGGGAGAACTTGCACAATCGGTGGCTGACTAAATACTTTTTTGCCCCACTGTATATATATAATGAGAGGGAGAGAGAGATATTTTTTTTCAATTCAAGTTTATTTATATAGCGCCAAATCACGACAAGTCATCTCAAGGCACTTCACATAATAAACATTCCAATACAGGTCAGTTCATTAAGCCAATAAGAAAAAAGTTTCCTATATAAGGAACCCAGCAAATTGCATCGAGCCACTGACTAGTGTCAGTGACTTTACAGCAATCCTCAAATAGATATAGATATATATAGGTGTGTATGTGTGTGTGTGTGTGTGTGTGTGTGTGTGTGTGTGTGTGTGTGTATATAAATATATATATATATATATATATATATATATATATATATATATATATATATATATATATATATATATATATATATATATATAAATTATATAGGTATATATATATATATATATATATATATATATATATATATATATATATATAAATTATATAGGTATATATATAGCTCAATAAGTATCAAAGAAATACTTCAACAGAAAAGCGGGGATTCTGCTAAAATGATGGATTGTCTCATCCTGATGCAGAAGTGATGCCCATTTCATTTCTAACCTTAGGAGTGGATTCATGTTAGTTACAGTAGTGCAACAGTGCCATCTAGTGAACATGTAGCTGCACAGCACTTGGCACTGTTTTTCACTGTCACACCCAAACATCAACACTATTAAACACTTGTTATGCAGAGGACACAATGTATATTTAAAATGTTATAAGTTTTAAGGTTGAAAAGGTATAAAAGAAATAACTCAATAAAGAGGTTAGAAAATAATCAAACATCTGCTTTGTCTCCAACAGAGGACATGGCTCACAATCTAAAAGATTTGAAGCTTTCGACTACAACGAACACAACAAGTGTGTCAAAGGAAAACTCGACACACCAGAAAGCAACACAAAGATCAAAGGAGACAACAAGAAGACAGCTGTTGCATCCACATCCGCCTCCAAGCAGGAAATGGTAAGGTTTTAAACAACACTCTGACTCAAGTAAAGCCCTACAGGGATTCCCAAAGTGTGGTGCGCGCACCCCTGGGGGTGCGCGAGCTGCCGCTAGGGGGTGCGCCAGGTGAAAAGTGTAATGGCTGCGGAGCTCAGAGAAGTCTGTCATGTGTCACTATTAGCGTAGAAACTCATTTGTGGGTGGGCCAAAGAAAAAGTAAGTGGGCACAATAAATGTAATTGAAAACAGTATATATTTGTGCGCGCGCGCGTGTCTTCCACATGTGCCCTAGCTTCATAATAACAATGCGCCGAGCTTCAGCACTCTGGCCTGCGCACGCCGATATGTTCCGTATTTGATCATTTTTAACGGTGTTTGAGGAATCTGAAGGTGGCGAGTCATTCTGGCAGATTGTAATTAACACCTGTCTCATGCAGGTGTTCTGACATTGTAAACCTCACACACAGAACATTGTGGATGTAACAAAATAACAAGAAATGATGCCCATTCAGGCTATTGACAGCGCGCTGAAGATCTGAAGTTCAGAGTGCGTCTGTCAGAGATCAGACGCGTTCCGGCTGAACCACGGCTCACGGGTGCACATGTGAGCACATCTGGGCTGGGCAGAAGTTTAAATAGCGCCAATAACAAGACGCGGTGACTTGAGCGGCTGTGCCGCGTGCGCGCGCACACACACACAGATTCAATAAGCGCGCACGCTGCTTTAACTCCGGCGCGCAGTCAGACTGAAGGCAGAAATGAACGCTGCCTCCACCACGATAAAAACTTTTAAGAGGTTATTTTTCATTCAAGGTCAAATTAAGATATTAGCTTTTGGGATGAGTCGGGTCCGCTCCAGCCAGTGACTCCGAACCTGACCACAAGTCATGTTACTGCAGGATTTGTTATTCCAGTCAGCGCGGCAGTGGATCGCAGATTCAGCCACACCATAAAACAGCAATAAGTCGGTCTGAGGTAAAAGTGAACATCATGGCTATATCTTGTCCCCTATAGACATTTGATTACGCACAAGTAGGTGATCAGTTCAGGTTTACACAGAGCAGAAGGAAGGAGAGCGCTCTGGCCGCACAGGTTAAACGTTCCTACTTTAAGAAAACCGTTAAATTGCATTGTTTATGTGCTACCTGGGCACTCTAAATATTTATTTAAAATGAAATCAAAGGAAATTGTAATGGTATCGAATGTTTATTAATTACTATTTAAAAAATGAAAGTTATATATATATATATATATATATATATATATATATATATATATATAGATAGAGAGAGAGAGAGAGAGAGAGAGAGAGAGAGAGAGAGAGAGAGAGAGAGAGAGAGAGAGAGAGAGAGAGAGAGAGAGAGAGAGAGAGAGACATGCCCCGATGTGGGGGTGGGGGTGGGGGGGGTGCGTCGACATGGTCGGGACATAGAAGGGGGTGCGCGGCTAAATAAGTTTGGGAACCACTGCTCTACAACACTGTCAACTGTGAGCTAATATATCGTGTGTACATTTAAAATCTGTAAACTGAGAAATGATGTGTCAATAATTGTCATTTTATCACATACCTGCTAAATTACATTTCTTAATGATAAGTCGTCTGTTCCGTTAGCATGCTTTGCATCAACACTCACTTTTAAGCTTTATCACAATCAAATCTAACGCTATCTGTGAGGTTTTAACAAGGTCAAGTGGAGCTGGCAGTATGGTGTGTCCTCATCAGAAAGACATTTACTGTTTGTGTAATCTAAAATGCTGCCTTTTCACTGCAAAACTCTGATTGTTTTGTAAAATGTTGGGTGTGTGGGTCTCATTTTGTTTACCTAACGTAATTAGTGTGCAGTGAGAGTAATGTTTTTCAGAAACCTAGGAAGCAGACATGTCCACACTTTTCCTAATTTAAAAAAAACATTCTAATCTGCTTAAATGTGAATTTAGAAAGAACACTTTCTTCCTCTTGCACTTCAGCTTGAAATCATCTGAGTGGCGGTTGTGTTAAATGATCCTTTGTTTAGCATTGTTTATCCAATGACTGGATGAACAAGCTTGGATCATCACCATGAACTGAGCTGCTGTCAAATCTAGAAAATCCATCCACTGCTGACTGATTAATGATACGTCTCTTTGATTTTAGGTTGTGAGAGACAGATTCAATATTAGATAGGACATTAAAGAAAAGGCAGCTGTGGTCACTCACATGAACCTCTTCAACATGTACCAGTGTACCACTGCTGCCTTATTTGGGACTGACACCCGTCATCACTGAGCCTTACATTAGACAAGTTCATAATAATCACATTGTCAGAGCTATCCAGTCGACCAATAAATTTGTACATAGAGTTCCTTAGGACTGCTGGTAAACAATTAACTTGAGCATTTACAAACATTTCACTTGCACCATCTTGGCAGCTTGAGTAGAGTTCTCATAGCATCATTGTAGGCAGTCTGAGCTCTAGTCCACACGTAGCCGGGTTTTTTAAAAAACGAATATCCGCCCCTCCAAAAGCTTGCATCCACACCACCTCGTTTTAAAAACAAAACTCTGTCCACACGTACCCGGATAAATACGTTGTTAAGGACATGCCAGACCTGTAGGCAGCAGTACTTCCCCCGTTCTTAACCTCGTCCTTCGTCTGTGGTCTTCCACAAGGAGCAGTAATTCCGCTTGCAAAAACAAACAAGCAAAAAGCGCTTGGACCATTGATGGATCAGGTAGTGACAGAGCGCAGCTCTGAGGGCTTCCATGATGCCGGCTAGTGTAAACACAGGTCGCACACGTGATGTCAGCATTTTTTTGTCGCGGAAAGTGACGTTGCGGACCTTAAAACTCCGGTTTTGTCCGTCCACACGCAGACACCCAAAACGGAGAAAACGCAGATCTTCACTTTGGCCGGAGTTTTTTAAAAGATCCGTTTTCGTGTAAAAAACTCCGTTTTCGTGTGGATGACAGGCCAAAACGTAGAAAAATATCTACGTTTTGGCAGATCCCCGGCTACGTGTGGACAGGGCCTAAACCTTCCTCATATTTGCTTTCGTGTAACGGAACCACAAGTGAGCTGTATATAAAGAAGTACAGAACACTCGAAACAAGAACATTTTTACATCATTAGAACATGTGCCAAACCTATGCACAAGAGCTGTAGCCTGAGCATACAACCTGCGACGTTCTCTCAACATGTCAACATCAGACATTAACTCAGTCAGGATATGACCCAAATATTTCACCTTACTGACCGCTTCCAAAACATTCCCTGCTAATAGAAAAGCAGGGAAAGTCATTTTGAGGTCATCTCTAGTGCGGCATATCACCACTCCACTTTTGGCAGTATTAATGTCATAATTGTCCCCATACCCAGAACATTCACTAAGCATCTCCTGCAACCCAGCACTGCTAGGACTGAAGACAACAAGGTCATCTGCATAAAAGAGATATTCACACAGACACTGCCGATCACGCACCCTGTCACGGCTGCCAGCCTTGAGTGAAGAGCAGAAGCCAGGATCACCCTGCCCTAGTGATCAGCCTGACACCGCCCCTCATTCTCCTCTCTCCCAGGCTGCTGAGGAGCACAGCTGAGCTGCATCTGGTTGATTGCCAACACCTGTATAAAAAGGCTGTGCCTTCAGCAGTCTGGCAGGCATTGATTTTGTTTTGTGAGCGCTGTTCCAGACCACACTCCACACTAGTTGGTGGCGGTAATGCACCAGTCGATGTTTGCTAACCGCCAATGAAACACCAGAAGAAGAAGAAGAAGAGGAAGAAGAAGAAGAAGAGGAAGAAGAGGAAGAAGAGGAAGAAGAGGAAGAAGAGGAAGAAGAAGAGAAAGAAAGAAAGAAGAAGAGAAAGAAAGAAAGAAGAAGAGAAAGAAAGAAAGAAGAAGAGAAGGAAAGAAAGAAGAAGGAAAGAAAGAAGAAGAAAAGAAAGAAAGAAGAAGAAGAAAGAAAGAAGAAAAGAAAGAAAGAAGAAGAAGAAGAAGAAGAAAAGAAAGAAAGAAGAAGAAGGAAAGAAAGAAAGAAGAAGAAGAAGGAAAGAAAGAAAGAAGAAGAAGAAGGAAAGAAAGAAAGAAAGAAGAAAGAAAGAAAGAAAGAAAGAAGAAGTCGAAGTCTGGGAGGCAGCAGTGCAGGGGTTCTGCTGTCCTCCTGGTTTTTGGTTTGGTTTGGTTTCAACCCCTTTCGTTTAGATTTATGTGGATGAGTTTTAAACTTTGGTTTAGTTTTTAACTCTTAAGTGAGAAGTTTTGGATGATCCAGTGGGATCTTTTTGCTGTTTGGTTTTAAGGTTAACTTTGTTTGTGGCAATTTTACTGACCTCGGTTTTAAACACCTTTCGTTGTGGTAAAGCTTTTAAAATAAGTTTTTACCAGGTGTTTTTAGTCAGTGGATTGTTTTGGAACTTTTATCAACTTCAGGATTTTAAAACACCTTCTGTTCGGTGAAGCTTTTAATACAAGTTTTAACCCGGTGTTTTATAGTTGATAATTTGCTGTGTAATGTTAACCTTTTTCAGAGTTTTAGAGAGTTCTGTTTGTTTTGCATTATTTTTATAATTCACCGTCGTCATCTGTTAGCACGTTTTTAAAACCTTTTTGTTACAATAAAACCCTTTTAATATCCACTGTCCAGTCTTATGTTACCCCCATCCTTCACTTTTTTAACAACACCTGTCGGGGACGTAACACACCCTGTATTGCACCCTGACAAACGTCTTGAGAGATCATCCGAATATAAGTTAGAGTACTGGCGACGAGACACCCCCCCCCCCCCAATCTTACTCCATTACTAACGCCAAACGGGGAAGAGAGACACATTTGTTGCTAACCAAGCAACTGGTTTTGTACCAGGCCAACTTAACTCAGAAATTTGTTTGTGTAAACATGACTTTTATAATTTTATTGTGTGTGTTTATGTAGGCCATAGACAAGACTAAACCCCACCGGATACTGCGCGTTGTCACTGATCGAAATCCAGAGAGCGTTGAAGTGAAGATGAGCAGAGCGGATGAGAGTGATGCCATTAAAATGTCCTGGGAACTGGCCGACCCGGGACGGAGGGAAAGGGTAACACTGATAACCTGAAGATCAAATAATCAATGTTTTTCCAGTTTAACTAGAAACTAAAGCAAACTTTAAAAACTTCATCTGTAAACAATCAGTACTGACACGTTTAATTGTTCATTTTAGGCTTTTGAGTCCCGTCGAAGACGTCTTGAACGATTCCAGAATTGTATCCGTACATGTGTGAACTATCCGAGTGGCATCTATAAAGATTGGAGTCAACTATTCAGGTTTGCTGTGGTCAATGTTTGCTTTAATGTTTTATTTTTTTTATATTTTTTTTATTGGTTTTAAAGATATTACTTGTTTTGTTTTGTGAAATTGAATTGAGCTGTAAATGCATGCAAGTCTTGACAACATTATGGTATTGTGTTCAGTGTTGGGCAAGTTACTTCAAAACTGTAATGCATTATTTATTACTTGTTACCCTCATTTTAAAGTAATTCATTACATTACAATATTACTGGTTTTAAAATGTAAGGGATTACACTACTTTTGCATTACTTTAAGTTACTTTCACCAATACGACTTCAGTACAGAATCTGGTAATCTGACGCTCAGTGTGCTCATGACATATATGTGGAAAGTGATGTGGTGTCTGAGCTAGGATTGCTGTTAAAAACAGTCATATATAATAACAGTGCTTTAAAATGATTGTTTATTAAATAAAAGCAACAACAATCTGTACTCTCAGCACGCTTCCATCTTATATTAACTGAGCAGGGAGTGAGGTGGTGGGGGCTCCAACCATATATTTGCCTTGGTCCCCAAATGCCTTGATACGGCCCTGGATGTGGGACTGACTTCTGGGGTGATCTGATTCTATCACATGTACAAATATTAAATGCTTATATATTATTGCTTTTCACTGGTAAAAATGTGTATTGGGGATAAATCTACCTACTTTTTTTTCTTTTCAAGCACTTTGTTTTGTTTTGTTGATTTTATGTGAATAATTTCCGGCCCTTTCTCTCTCTAACCTTCCTGCATGCTGCATGTTTTCTCCATCTTCCAGAAAAGCTTTCCTAGATTTCCTACTTTCTAACTAATCAGCCAAAGGGATCTACCGAACGCAAAAAAAAAAAAGAAAAAAAAAAGCTTAATATGCGCTGCGCTCCAGCAGCAATGAGTTTGAAATCACCGGGGCACAGATTATGAACTCAGCTGAAAAGTACATGAAGTACCAGAGAATATGAGCTGATATAAACGATCGCAAACAAATTACTTAGCTTTAGTGGAGCGATTTTGTGAATATTACAGCGGCCGCACGCAGGACGCAGCTGGAGTGTTTGAGCCATTACCGCTGCGTCCTCTCTGCTCATAGAATGCCCGCAAAGCTGAGTCCATACATGACGTCATATATGTGGATGGATACTGGATCTTTTTTCAGGCTTCCTGCAATTTGAATTTTTAGGAAACCCACATCTTGATTCTGGGTTTAAAAATGCATTGTAATTTCCTCGTTACTGACAATTGTACCGAGTAAATATTACCATTTTCTTTCGCTGTAATGCCTTACATTACCACATTACAGCAAAAAGCAATGCATTACAGTAATTAATTACATTTGTGCCGCGTTACTCCCAACACTGATTGTGTTTTAAGTGTTGGCGGATTGGTGTTGCGTCTGCAGCGACGCAGGCGTTGTACCGGTCTGTAGCGGTGAAAAGACCTATGTTCACAAGCTTTGGGTAGTGACCGAAAGAACAAGACCGTGGATACAAGCAGCAGAAATGAGTTTTCTCTGCAGGGCGGCTGGGCTCTCCCTTAGAGATAGGTGAGAACCTCGGTCATCCGGGAGGGCTCGGAGTAGATCCGCCGTATTCGCAATATTTTTTATATAATTCCTTGCACCTACATTAGACGTGCTTATGACTGTCAACAACTTATAATCTTCATTTTTATCAGAAAAATCTTTAGGAAATTTTGACAGTAAGTTATGACAGAGCACAGTTTGTATATGCCTTAAATATGATAAATGTTTGTGTTCACACGTAGAAACCAGGAGGATGTTGAGGAGTGTCCTGAAGATCCCTTGGAGGTTTTTGAGAAAGTCTTTGAAAAGTCTAAGTTAAGAGCACAGGAGGATCTTAGGCGTCTAAACGAGGACCTTAAAAAAGCATGGTCAGTGAGTCCGATAGATTTCTGAAACTTTATAGACCTATAAGTTGCTGTTTTTAGACATAATTATGTTATTTCTTTCACTTTGCCTTTTCCTTGTCTGTAGGAGGAGAGTAATAGGAGGATTGATGCTCTGCAAGCTGTTTGTGACCGTCTGTGGGCATCTGAACATCCTGAAGGTGGGTTCTGATGTTGATCTCCCTAAAAAGTCTTTTATGAAAGAATCTGCATGGACATCTTTTACAGCACCTTAACAAAAACACTTTTGCTGCTCAATTCTGATGAGTCAGCAGCCTCACTCAGTGCTTAGGTATAATTATGTCCCTCTGCTTTTTTCTTGTCTATAGAAAGTGAGCCAGAGGAGGATTGATTCTTCGCAAATGTTGACTGTGATTTTCTTGTAGTCACCTGTTAGCCTTAATATTTTTTGATTTCTGAATAAAGATTGAATAATTGTTGACGTTCTATTTGAAGGAGGTACAGTTCAGTGCATGATAGCCCTCAGACACCCTGTTATCAGTTAAATAAATCTCCATAACATGTAATGTTTCTAAATTGTTCAATAAAGTTAGTTTAAAAACTAGCATATTTGGGAGTTCATTTTTCAAGTATTTTTATTCATTATTATTATTATTATTTTGTTCGTTTGTTTAATTCAAAATAAAAACAAATAAAACATAACAAAAAATCAAATTTGAACGAAAACGAGCAGAATGAAGAAAAACATCTTATAATTTCTGCCCCCTTTTCCAGTAGAAATAATCAATTTATATATAATTTCCATTTGTCAGACACACACACACAGATTCATTTTAAACTTTTTGCTGTTCTTAATTCCAGTGCGGTCATGATCATTGAATACATTTACATTTTCTTAATTAAGTACACTCAATTTGGTACATTTTTTTGAATATATTAAATGACAGTTTTTTATTTCCCTTTTAAGGTTATTCCATAATTTAACACCATTTACAGATATATTCCACTTCTTAATTTTAGTTCTAAATCTAGGTTTTGTAAACATATCAGCTTCTTTCAGCATGTAATTATTAGTTCTCTTTTCAAATATCCCCTGAATGTTTGTTGGCAGAGTACCTAAATTGGCTTCATACATGGTTTGTATGATTTTCCAGTCTTTTAAGTCATTCAAAGATTCAAAGATTCAAAGTCATTTATTGTCATGTTCTCCACATGTGCAGGACATACAGAGAAATGAAATTCAGTTTCAGCACACACAATTCAAAGATCAGACATACGTTGGTAAGACATAAGAATTGGTGACTGCGGTCATTCGCAACATGAGTCGCGCTACCTTAATAGTTAGATGAAAAGGGTGTTACATGAGTGAAGTTCAGGGAGGGAGAAAAAAAAGGCATTAACAGGGTTACACCAGCAGGGTGTAGCACTCCAATGCAAAAAAAAACACCCGACATGGAAGCACAGACAGCACGTATACAACATCAGAGTCCGATGGGGAGGTGGGGGTGGGCGGGATCCTGAAGCCTCCAATGGGAGCTGCCACTGCGGCGCATCGACCAGCTGCAGACCAACAGGTGGGAGGGAGGTCATGAGGAAGCATAGAGTGCAGTGAGTCCTTCAGCTTGATGACCTCAGTGGAGACCACAATCTGAAGGGGGGGGGAATAGAGATTCACAGCATTTGTCAGCATTCCTTCCAGTGTGGGGGTTTTGCATGCAACTCCAAGGCTGCTTATGGCGTCAGATTCGATAACAGAAACTTTGTTTGGGTCAGACAGAGATAATTTTTCCTCTCTGCCTTAAGTCTGTATTGATCATTCAAGTCCTCCAGTGAAGCCAATTCAGTGATTAAACATCTCCACACCGTCCGGTGACCCTTTCCGAGATGTTATCAATCCTGCGCGCTAACACCGGTAACGCAGCTAAGACATTGTCCAGCTTGCGATTCACCTCGAGCAACGTCCCAGTCTGTGAGGTATCCACACGGACGGTGCCGTCCATGGATGCGGGTCGCCCTCCAATCGCTCCCGTCATCCCAATTTTACGGAAAGCCAGATATCCTCCCACTCCAATCAGAAGAAATCCAACGATCATCAGGCCAAATATCCACAAATCTTCGACGTCCTCAATGGACAGCTGAGAGAGACAGATGATATTCCACTTCTTCCAGGAATCAAACATATATCCCGCTGCATGTGTCCCCTGAGGACAAGCGTGAGCCCCCTCCTCCGTCCTCATTGTAGAAGAAATCTTATCAATCGCGTTGAATGACCAATTAATTAAGTCCATGTTGAAAAATGCTGAAAAAGGTGATTGCAGAGGAAATGCAGAGAAGCGCTCTGTAGGCAGACGGGACAAAAAGAGCCTTGGGAAAACACAGATAAGGGAGGAAAAGGCAGAAGCGTCTGCTCTCTGTGAGTGCCGGAAGATCAAGTCATGAAATTTCAGTAATTTATATTTAATAAACAATGGGTTTGATGGATTTCTACAGCCAGTTGATGATTCTCAGAGCTCTTTTCTGTAAAATAAATAAGGGTTGTGTATAGTTTTTGTATGTTGCTCCCCAGATTTCTACACAATAAGCCAAGTATGGAACAATCAGTGAATTGTACAATGCCAACAAACCAGAATTAGTAAAAACTTGACTCTATGTAATACTCCTAAGGATTTGGCAATTTTACCTTTTATGTATCTAATACGGGATTTCCATGTCAAGTCTTCATCAATAAGAACTCAAAGAAATGTAGTTTCTTTTACTCTTTGAATTGCAATCCCATCTATTTCCAATGACACATCACTGTTCTTTTTATCAGTATAAAATTTGTTTTATCAAGATTCAATGTCAATCTATATCAAACCAGTTTTTAATTTTAATCAGTTCATCATTTATCACTTTAGCCACCTCCTCAATATTTGATCCTGAGTAAAACAGTGTTGTATCATCTGCAAATAGAATGGTACCGAGTGTCTAAGATACGTTTACCAAGTCGTTAATAAACAAAATGAACAGTTTTGGTCCGAGGACCGACCCTTGTGGCACTCCACAATTAATTTCACATAGTTTTGATTTATGGACCTTTATCTAAACATACTGTTTCCTTTTTTCTAATTAAGTTTAACCCATTGATGAGCCACATCTCTTATTCCATACTGACTTAATTTTCGAAGTAACCTTGAGTGATCAATGACGTCAAAAGCTTTTTTCAAATCAATGAAAACACTAACAAAGTCATTTTTATTGTCAATTGCTGTTGATATTTTATCCGTTAATTCCATTATTGCCATTGCTGTGGAATGATTAGTTCTAAACCCATATTGTTCAAATTATTTTTTTTCGATGAATTTATCCAACCTTGATACAAATATTTTTTCCAATATTTTAGAAAACTGTGGAAGCAGTGACACCGGCCTGTAATGATTGAAACTATTTTTATCACCACTCTTGTACAAAGGAATGACTTTCGCTGTTTTCATTGCGTCAGGAAAATTTCCAGTAGAAAGTGATAGATTACAAATGTAAGTGAATGGTTCAATGACAGATTCTATGATGTTTTAAGTTATCATGTCCAGGCCCTGATGATTGGTTGATCGTTTGTTTTCACAGTTTTTTTACAGTGTTTTGTATTTCTTCTTTATCTACTTTGTCGAGGGCAATACTATTGACAGTACTAATCATTGTGGTCATTTTATCTTCTATTATTGGTTTGTTCTCCATCAAACTCCTACCTACATTTACCAAAAAAATCATTAAACTCATCAGTGATTTCTTTATCATCATAAATATCTTTTTTGTCCTTGTTTAGTTAGTTTAAAGTTATGATAATTGTCTCCAGAAATCTACTTTGAGAAAAATTATACATAAAAAGTATTCTGAGGAACTACTGTATAGATTTTTGTAAAAGTTATTGGTCACTGAAAAACTTTTTATTGATCATTATTTCTGATTATAGTTGGTCATTCTGAGTTTTCATGCATGAAAATAGTCTCCTACACCTATCTCCTGCATTAGCTTCTGATTGAAAATGGATAGTGAAACTCTAGGATTTGAAAGTCCTCACAGATCTATGTCACACTGTCACTTTACATTCATGGACTCACCCATCTTGGCTCACGACGGGGAAGGTTGTTGTTGGTTTACTGTTCAGCAAACAGCAGTGAACGTCTCGACTAGTAGAAGCTAACCATTAGCATAGGCAACTCCACCACACAGCAGAACTTCTTCAGGCTTGTGTTATTTGTAGAGATAAAACATCCATGTTGCAAAGCAAACAGTCAGTGGTAGAGACTTGTTGCTGTAATCTAATCAGAGGCGAGTGTAGCGTCATGAATGTCGTGTTTTTGACCTAAAAGTCATGATCTGCTGCGTCTGCTCGAGCAGAGAAATTAAGTGTCTGACAGGCTAATCTACATGAGATCGTGGCCAAGGTCTTTCATGCACTCTGCTCATCTGAACTGCTACAGCTCAACACGAAGACAAAGAACTCTTGATAAATACATAATCAAACAACTTTGTTATTACCAATAATAATATGAGCCCAATTACTTGATATTATAATCCTGTGATCAGTAGTATTTTGCAAGTAATTATAATCCTGGACATTTGCACTAGACACTAATGACACGTAATGTTAAAGTCACAGGACACATTTCCTTTTGTCTGATCCAATCACAATTCAGAACCTTCGTTTCTGATGCGAGGAGTGGTTTTTTGTGGTGTTTGTATAAGCCCTCTTTTTGCATGTCAAATTCTAATTCGCCAGTAAACCAAAATATGACAATTATAAAAACTATTCCACGCCACCTTTTCTTTAGTTTAAGTGTTCTAGAGGAGTCTCGGACCGGCCATCCGGACTTCCTCTTCAGCCATAAAGAACCTCGACAAGCTGGATAAAATCTGTTGCAAGTTACACCTGACCACAATGGTTCCTTCAGAATAAAAGCTGAACCTCACGACCCCTTCAGGGTCTCGCTGACGCCAATGAACCTGTCGTGACCTGGAAGCATTCCAAGACTAGTTTGGTCAGCACCGCTGCTTTTCTACCGGCTTCGGTTCCAAGGAGGGTCCAAGAGGACCTCGACATTGTGGATCTAATGGAGGCTTCCCCTGGGGTACGTAGACTGACAGATGGCGTTTCATGTGTGTTATAAACCTCCTACTAAAGTTTAGAGCGAAACATTCACTCCCACTCAGACCTAACTGCTTCTCCGGATCCGCTGGTTCTGATAATAACATTCCACACACACACCATCATCATTCATCACGTCTCACTCCACCTTAGTCCATCAGTGCACAGAATGTTAAAGTTAGTCTTGTTTAAATTGTGTAGAAATAAAATTCTTAAGTATTATAAACCTGACTCTTTCCTCGGAGTTAATACGAAGTTTCACTTAATCCCTGCAATGAAAAGTTTTGATCTTCTGGTTAAAATAGTCAAAGATCCATCAGATTGATATTTCATATTTCTATGGAATCTCACATTTTATGGTTCATAAGTAAGATGTCAACTAACCATCCTTTACACGAGATATCCAAATGTCAGTAAATAAGGCTCGTCTCTGAAGCTCCTCCGGCTGAGTTGTACTTCCTGAGACAGGTGCTCCTGAGAAATTTCCCCAGCTACGACTTACAAGGCATTCATTCCTACTGGAGACCACAGCAAATGAGTTGAATGAATGAGTGGTTATATTCAGTTGCTCCTCATCCATCCATTTTCTGAACCCGCTTGTCCATGTAGGGTCACGCGGGGCAGGCAATGGGCAATCAATCAGGCGGTGTACACCCTGGACGAGAGCCAGTCCATCACAGTCAGTTGCTCCTCATTCCGTAAAAAAAAAAAATTTCAAGTGTTTTTTCTTTATGTATTATTAACATCCCAATTGTTTGTTTAGCTCAGTTAGCTTGTAACTACATCGACTTAAAGTTTGATGGTTGTCAATAATTTGCTCCCACCCTCACAGCCCCACTCTTAACTCCATCTATGAATTTACTGTGAGTAACAAAACACGTGATGCAGCCAAGATGGCGGTGGTGGCAACCACTCATCTGGCTTCAATTAAGCTCTTCAGAAACCTACGGGGGACGGCCCAGAGAGTCCGTCCATTATA